CTCAAAATCTATACCTTAATTTTTCTCAACAATAAAACAACTACACATTGTTAGAAAAGATGAATGTAAAAATATATCTGAATTAAAAAAATTTGTATGGCATGTACTATATATGAACATTAACCCCTTAACTGCGTTGCCTCCAAATGTGACACCCCCGCAGTGCGCAGGAAATAAATTCTCTGGAAAAAATTCTTTTTTCTTTTTGAAGTGTCAAAAACCCTTCCCTCAGTATGGGTATGCAAAAAAAAAGTCGAAATTGTACTTACTTTGGCTGCTATGGGGTCCGGAAGTTGGGGCGTGACGTCATCATTCCCCGTGCGCCCGTGCCGTAAGCTCTCGGGGGCGGTGGGGCGCTCGGGGCGGGGCGCGCGAGTTGCCGCGAATATATTTTCGTTCATTTTTTGCGCACCTTTCCAAATACATTTTCATTGTTTTTATGTGCCAATCCAATGTATAATGAACACGTACACTATAATATCGCAGTACAACATCCGTACTGTCCGTAGACACTGTGTTACGTGCATGAAACTTGTGTACACATATGCAGCACATATTTACTATGTATCATGCTAATTTGTGTATATATACAATCTATTTACACACTATACACTGTCACACACTATATACATTCACCATCAACACATTCAGAACACCGCGTAGCAGCTGCTTCGTATGGGCCAATAGCAGCTGCCTCGTATGGGCCAATATCAGCTGCCTCGTATAGGCCAATAGCAGCTGCCCCGCATGGGCCAATAGCAGCTGCCCCGCATGGGCCAATAGCAGCTGCCCCGCATGGGCCAATAGCAGCTGCCCCGCATGGGCCAATAGCAGCTGCCCCGCATGGGCCAATAGCAGCTGCCCCGCATGGGCCAATAGCAGCTGCCCCGCATGGGCCAATAGCAGCTGCCCCGCATGGGCCAATAGCAGCTGCCCCGCATGGGCCAATAGCAGCTGCCTCGTATGGGCCAATAGCAGCTGCCGCGTATGGGATAATAGCAGCTGCCTCGTATGGGCCAATAGCAGCTGCCGCGTATGGGCCAATAGCAGCTGCCGCGTATGGGCCAATAGCAGCTGCCGCGTATGGGCCAATAGCAGCTGCCGCGTATGGGCCAATAGCAGCTGCCGCGTATGGGCCAATAGCAGCTGCCGCGTATGGGCCAATAGCAGCTGCCGCGTATGAGCCAATAGCAGCTGCCGCGTATGGGCCAATAGCAGCTGCCTCGTATGGGCCAATAGCAGCTGCCTCGTATGGGCCAATAGCAGCTGCCTCGTATGTGCCAATAGCAGCTGCCTCGTATGTGCCAATAGCAGCTGCCTCGTATGGGCCATGAACACATTCAGAACACCTTGAGTGAGAGCAGCCACACCCAGCCAGTCTCCCTCACTCCAACATCTTACTCGCCAACATTGCTCCTCCCACCATATTGCTATAGTTCTTATTACATATGTTCTATATACCTATCTACATGTTTTATTTACCAGAACTATGCAAGTAAGCCGGTATTGTGTCCAAACAGTACAGTGGCCACCATACACTGCATGAAAAATCACACAGCAGACGACGCTACGATTACGTCACCTCCCTCACCAAAATAGCTCCTCTCAACATTCTCCTGTTGCTGTTCTTACACTATATACACACACTATATATACCCATGTACATATGTGTTGCCCATAGTGAACCACTAAGCTAGTATGGTGAGCAAAACAAGAGTGGCAGCCACACACACACAATTGAGGCTACCTCAATTCTCGCCCTCCCTCCCTCATCAAAATTCCTCCTTCCACAATACTACGCACAACGCTAATTATAACCACATTCCTGCTATTATCACAATCCTGGTCACTAATTCCTGTAAATGAATAATTGACCACACGTTTATTTTGAAAAAGAACCTAAGAAATCATTTGAAGATTCCTAGATGAACGAAATAATGCTCTGGTGCTGTGGCTAGCGCTGTGAACATCGTGAACAGCATTGAATCACTGATATTTGAACATTGTACCCAGTCATTATCACACTCAGGCTCTAATATAACACTAAATAATACAATTTATATATATATTTTGACATTATTAGGCGATGCTGTGGTCACATGCTGAACAGCAGTGCTGTGCGCTCATGCTGCGAGCGCCAGCCTTGGTTGCTCACACACTACTGAGGCTCCCACACCCGGGAATGTGGACCACGAATTTTTTTAAAGATGGCGTCTGTTTACAAGAGCCCTGAGGAAGCTGATGTGAACCCCATGTAGCCGCGGGAGTTTTGAATGGAACGTGAAAAATACAAATACCCGGAGGCGCGTTGCGCAAACCAGACGTGAGCCTGCAGGCGCGTTGCGCAGTTTAAGGGTTAACCAATCCATCCTTCCAAATGATAGTACATGCAGTGTAGCAACTGATGCAAACAGCTAACAATATTATCTACATGTACAGATAGTATTGCATTGTACAAATCTGTACTACTGTACAGATTTATTCAACAGTACAATATTTTGTACTACTGAAATATTTCTCATTTGATCTGAAACATCTGAAACCAGAACCAAGAAAGAAAAAGAATGAAACAATGACATCATGTAAGCCTAACAGTACATTTATGCATAATATTAGACCTCCTATATGTTTGAATTAAGCAGCATCAAAGTCTTGCTTTAAATTGGGTGGGGGATGCATCATGACCCAACCAATAGACTAATAGGATATTTAATTGAAGTGAACAAACTTCCCGGGTACACAGGAACTGAGGGACTGGCTGGCCTCGCCAATAACAACAGGCAACCTTGACCGCAAAACAGAAAGTTGGTGGCAATCTGAACCCCAAAACCTCATCAAACAGACAATGCAGAAAGGCCAACAGAGTCACATACAAGAAAAAATCACTTAATGTGACTCAAGCACATACCAGGGAAAAGGACAAGACACAGCTTCCTACTTAACTTCTTAACAAAAGACCTCACGTTAGCAACTAGGTCCAAAGCACTAGCCTGATGTAGGGCAGCTCAAACGGAGCAGACCTATAGAGGCGAAACTCAAACCACTAAGATAACTAGTCAAGAAACACAAGCTGATACCAGGGAAGATATTCCTGAAACCTAAGTGGAGCAAAATAAGCTAGGGACATGCAATGTTGATGGAATTAATAACTGTGAAGTGTAACAAACAACATACAATTCCACATGGGCTGTATGTTCCAAGGAACACCAAGACATGTAGCTGTGAGCAACAAAGTTAATGGACTCAACAGGAGAGGCACAAATGGGTCAGCACCAGTGAGGAGGGTGGCAGGCCAACTCTTTGGGTGATCTGAGTTGTCAGTTGAGTTTGGGCTATGGTTGGTTGTTAACCTGTTGCCAACTATCATTTGCCTTGTTTTCCTAATTTAATTTCCTTCCTAATATTTGTTGAAATGTTGGTTTGTTTTGTTTCTCCTGTGATTTTCTGGGAAGTTTTCTCAGTTTTAGATAGTTCTTTGATCCCCACATTCCACTCATCTCTTTGAAAGAACCTGATTGCAGTTCTGGTTTTTGGTAGGGTACTCACACTGTAGGGACGTGAGATGTATGGGAGGCTCTGTGGTAACAGTGTCTTAAGCTCCAGGAAGCTTCTGAGGGAGTCAGAACAGTAGAGCATATGACAAAGCTATTAGATAAGGGCTTTATGCATGGAAATGGCTAAGTTCTGCTAGCTTAAATGCTGTGAAATATTTATCTGCAAGAAATAGTGCGTATGTAATACTGTAGTTAATGGTGCAATGAATAATCAGTTAGATAATAGAAATTTACCCCAGGGTTGTGTTCATAATATATTTTATATAGAAAGGGTCATAAGAAGGTCAATGTAAGAATGTTAGAGGAAAGGAGTAAACATAGTGCATAGACTAAGCCTAATATGAGTATAACAACTGGAGTATACATGTAAAACTTAATGTATGGAGATGGTTTTATTTTATGTAAACAAAAGTTATGGAGAAGATAATTTTTTGTGAGATAAATGTGCATGGTCAAGAAATCGATCGATCCGTTTAAATATCTAGGGCGAGTGATTTATACTGTATATAAAAAAAGGGATTTATGCAAGTTGAGAGCAGGGTAGGTCAGGGACAAAAAAGTGGCTGGTGAAGTAAAAGCCCTGGTTAGCAAGATAGAAAGAAGATGCAGCCATGACTACATGAGGAATTGGTTGTGCTGACCCTTATGTACAGATTAGATGAATGTGTGGATTTGAAAAATTAAGAATTAGAGCAGTAAAACTGAACAATCTGCATGCTCAAAAAGTGGATAATGGTTGACTAATGAACAGTGTATTAAAGTTAATTTGAGGGTAGGAAGAAGAGGAGCAGCCTGGGAAGAAGGCGGCTGGACATTTTAACTGACGAAGTAGGAATACTTGCCTGCCTGGTAGCAATAAAAAAAAAAAAAAAAAAAGAGAAGTACAGTATTATGACATTTTAGAAAGAAATCAAGTATTGTTTCAATTTACTACACTGTTAGGTCATCCAAGATTAGACCAACTGCAAAATAATAAGAAAATGAATAAGAATCCTACCAGATTAACTACTTTATATATTTCAGGTAAGCTATACTACTGTAGAATACTGTACTAATGCTACTGTAGAATTTATAAATATGAATACAAAAACAAATATATGACTGCTGTTCATTTTCAGCAAAATACTATGCATTGTTGAGGAATTTTGCTTTACTTCATTTGCAAAGACAGCACTCATATTTATCAGACAACCAATTGTAAGAAGTGGCTAAGCCTCTGCAAGTACATTATCAAAAAAGCAAAAACAGTTTAAGAAGTTTATGCTTGACAACTAAAATACAGATATTGTAATGTGCAGTGTAAATTATTAGAAAATATAGGGCCTAACTTGGATGTGAGAATTTGGATGCCTATACTGATACTGTACAGTATACCAGCAGTTAAACAGTCCAGAATCAAATGGATCAGTTAAATCAAGCTAAATTAAGAAACGGCCATTTCATTACCTGATTGTCATCAGTGAGACGTTGGTGAGTATCACGCAGGTGTCTTAGCTCTGCAGCCTGAGAATGGAAAGTATGCTGAAGTTCTCTTGTTTCACTTTCAGCTCTCACTGCCCTACTTAATAATTCACTTCTGTTTAGTGCACTAAGTTCTTCCTCCAACCTTACCATGTCACTACTATTATTTGTGCTTCCACTGCCATTATTACTACCACCAACAACTCCTCCCCCTCCTCCTTGTCCAAGAGGCCCAGAATACTGTTTATTTGATTGCACTTGAGGACCATTAAGTGTTCCAGTTTGTAGAATATGTTTGTCTACTTCTTCAAGTAATGCATGAGGTCCAGGGTAACGTGGAGGTTCTGGGTAAGCTGGTGGCTGTCGTACTTCACCTGCAGGGCCATCAAGATGACTCCGTTGACCATTTACAACATTTGAATGTGACAAATGGGGTGCATATTGACCATGGGTTCCTGGAGGTTTATGTGGTGCTGGGGGACCTATGGAACCAGGTGGTCCACGATGATTTGGTATTCCGTGAGTACCTGGATGCCCATGCTGGCTTGGCTGTCCATGTTGTCCCGATCCCATTGAAGGTCGATGCTGACCTGGTCCAATCTGTGGTCCAGGACCTTGTGGCCCATTTTGTGAGGGCGGGCCATGAGGACCTGACAGTACTCGTTGACCTGATGGCCCAAGTTGATTAGCAGTGCCATGATGACTGTAACCAGCATGAGAGCCGTGTGAAGTTGGAGGTACAGAGGGTGGCCCATATGAACCAGGTGGAGGATGACCATGGTGAGGCCCAGGTCGTGGGGGGCCAGACTTGCCCTGATGTTGGGGGTAGGCCATAAGGTGCTCAAGATGCTTTTGAGTGTTGGCCGCAGGCATCAGCTCAAGTTGGTGGTGCTTGCCTCACACCGCAAGGTCAGCATCCTCCAGCTAGAAAAAATAAAAAACGAGAAAATAAGCTAAATATAATAAAATAAAAATGAATGTTTTTACAGTTAGGTAGAACAACAGTTTCCAAGAGTATCACATCATATGTTTTCCTACATTAAGTTTAAAGTGTTTTCTTGGGACAGACGAGTTGTAGTCCATATGCAGTACAGTATGTAAAGTTAATTTATCAAACTTTACAATTTAATTTTTGAGAGGCCTTCAATGCAGAGTCCATTTTGTAACATTATTGATATTAGCAATCCTTTAGGTCCTTTAACTTGACGTTTGATTCGTTCTGCTTACCAAAAATGGCCCACTAGATATTCAGAATATTTACCCCTCTGCTCAGTCCAAAATAAAGGTGACTATTTTCATCCAAAATAATATTTGCTGTGCATTTTCATAAGAAAAAAGCATAACATGCAAGGTGTCAATTTTTATGATAACCACAATTTGAAGGTTAAACTTGTTATGGTGATCAGCTTGCCAGGAAGATGGAGATCAGAATAATATTCAAGAATCCGCTGTCCTCCTTAGCTGCCAACTGAAATCTGAGGAGAACCATAGAAGGTCGATGTAGTTTCCCAAAAATGCAACAGTTCCTATAACAAGTGACAACTGTCACAGGGTTTCAAAATGGGAGACCCAGCCATGGAGGAAAGAACAAACTACAAATTCTGCTATTACAGAGTCTCCATCATTGGAACAGCCTTGGACCATCTAGATCAGTGAATGACATTGACGCAGGTAAATAGAAAACGAGGGATGTCCACCAGATCGAGTAAGAAGGCCAACAATGTCAACTCAAACCGACTCAAACCAACAATGTCGACTCAAACAAACACAAGTGTGTGTGTGGCAATGTATCATGGATTGCTCACATTGGAGACAGGTACGACTCCAGCATCAGGTATCTGTGTTGATTCCTGGCCATATCACCCATTTGCTCAGGAGAGACAATATACAGTGGAACCTCTATTAACGAGTTTAATCCGTTCTGGCACCGAGCTCGTTACCTGGAAAACTCGTCTTTGGAAACAAATTTCCCCATTTAAAATAAAGGAAATAAATTTAATCCGTTCCACTCCCAAAAACATCCATACTTGTATGACTTTTTTTTATGTAAATATAATACTGCACATGTAAATATAAATGTTTTGTTGTAGTGTTTTAATATTTACTTTACCTTATGAAGAGTAGTTGCTGGCTTGAGGGAGACGATGGAGAGGTGGGAAGGAGGAGAGGGGTTATGGTGTGGAAGGAGAATCCACCTCTGAGTCAGGCACTCTCTCTCTTCTTGGGAATTTCACCCAAATTTCATTTCAAATGTCACACAAGGATGCGTTAGGCCAGCACCAAATAAAAAACTATGTTGATTACACTCGTTGTGTCAACAATATAATAGTCTTACCCCGAAGATACAATACAATGCCGTTTTCTCAAATAGGCAATGTGGTTATTAAAGAAAACGGAAATTTCATGGCAAACTTGTATACAATCCCCAAGTCGATCGGATAAGAATTGAATTTTATAGAAATATTTGCTCAAATGACGCTTGAGCGCGGTGTTTGGGTGCATTCAAGAGAAAAAAAGTGTGTTACGTTCAAGCGACATATACCTGCGAAAGTGATAACACTTTCATAAAGTGTTATCACAAAGTGATAAATTAAACATTTTCATACACCGGGTTGTCACTGCTTTATCAGGGCAGCTTTTCCAAGAATGCGTTCACCTTTTCAAACATTCCAAACACTTCCTTGATCTCAGTTTAAGAGGCAGCATCCTCCCTTACCTCCTCATTCCCTTACTAATGGTGTAAATTGTTGATGAGGACCTGCCATACTTCCTTGTGAGATCAATCACACAGACACCACACTCATGCTTTGCTATAATTTCCTTCTTTTAATCCACAGTAATTGTGTCTTTCTTCCTCTTGACAACACAATCTTTAGCAAGCAGCTTCTTTGGAGACATCGTGTGTTACAAATTGTAGTCGCAAAACCACAAAAAACCCAAAGAAAAGCTCAAATAAATCCAGAGGGATGCTTGTCGTGTGAGATAGAACAACAACACTGGCGTCGGAGGCGTCCGAGAATTTGCGAGAACCCGCGAGACGCTAGGAAGCGCCATGTGGTTTCACTCGTTAATAGAGGCGAGCTCGTCAATAGAGACAAATTTGCTGCGAGTGGCTTGCTCGTTACTGGAAAAACTCGTTAATAGAGCCACTCGTTAATAGAGGTTCCACTGTAGTTTACTTGTCACTTTTGGGAGATCATTTATTTTCCAAGCCAAGCTGGGGACAGAGTTCTTTGGCAATAACCTGATTGGTTTGGTGCAATTTCGGTGCACACTGATTAGACAGCCGAGCACCAAAATTCAGATACTGTACAGTGGCACCTCGACATATGACTGCCCCTACTTATGAATTTTTTGAGTTATGACGTAAATTTTGTCGAAAAATGTGACTCGACTTACAACCTTTGCCTCAACTAGCGACTTTGTTGATATGCGTATGGGACGACCAATCGCATGGTTCCTGGTGGCACGGCTGACCCCACCTCAGTTTACCAGAGCCGCCCACTTAGTGCTTGTAAAGAATTTAATTATTCATGTGCTTTTTGGTTTTGAACATAAAAGAAATTATTATATATCACACTATGGGTCCCAAGAAAATCAGTGGTAAGGTTCAACCTAAGAAAATTGTAAAATTCATAAAGATCTGGGTTTTCAAAATGGCTTGTACAATACATGTAAAATTATCACAAATTACAACAAGGGCAGTATTTGGCACCACAGAGGCCAAGACTATGGTGTGAATTATGTTTAATGGCCAAAATTGCAAGCCTGGGCTGAATTCATCGTTATGAATTTATGAATACACACCAACTTATGAAACCTGTACATCTTTCCTCAATTATAGCGGCTTTGTTAACATCTATTAAAAAGTTCAAGAGCTCAGAAACACAATGAGATTCTTTATGGGAATAACAACAATGGGATGACAAGTTCTGCATTCGAATACATGTAAACAAAGCTGCCTTGATTGAGGAAAGAATACAAGTCTCAAATTGTTACATAAATGCTTGATGAATCCTGGCTCTGAGATACATGTATGCTAATCCCATCTTAGTACAGTACACCAATTCTGCAGGATGTCTTTCATCAATGAATTCCCAATAATAAATTTTATATCTGTTGAACAACTGTTTTGATAATTATATCACCCATTTTTCAAGGAGTTATGCCAGAATTGAGATTTTTGGCAGCATTGAGACCTCATCTTCAGATAGACATAATGTATCTATATGGGAGAAAGTTCAACACGGAGCAACAAAAATAATTCCAGAACTAAATCAACTCTCATACCAGAATAGGCTGAGGGGCCACAGGGCTAAAATACTGCAAACTGCCCATGTTGGGGCTGATGTCATCAAAACATTCAAAATACTGTACTGTACTTAATCATTTGGAGGATGTTGTTTCGGACATCTTCTTCAAAAGGTCAGATGTAATGCAGACAAGGAGTAACGGTTTCAAGCTCAAGCCACAGTGTACCACTGAAAGCATTATATGGTTTTTCACCCACGGGGTTATAAACTCATGGAACTACCGACCCGCTGAAGCCGTAAATGCCTAAACTCTGCTGAACTTTAAAATCCAGCTTGAAAAAATCATCAATACAAATGGAGAGACCTTTGACAAGTTACTGGCTTCCTGTCCTCAATCGAGGCAATTACAGTTAGTGGATCTCTGGTAAATTCAAGTAAATACATGTTGAATGCTTATAGTACTGTACAGTATAATGAAGATCACGAGCGGCAACTAGAATTTAATTACCTTAAAACTTCTTGTAATATTCATCTACATTATAATTAGATTAGATTAGATTTTTTATTCAGGTAAAGGTGCATACATTGAAGATGAGTTACAAACATAATGTTGAATTTAAAGATAGAGCTAGTACCTACAATACCTAAAGCCACTAATACGCATAGCATTTCGGGCAAGGCCGGTCTTTGGGGGAGCCGGTCGGCCGAGCGGACAGCATGCTAGACTTGTGATCCTGTGGTCCTGGGTTCGATCCCAGGCGCCGGTGAGAAACAATGGGCAGAGTTTCTTTCACCCTATGCCCCTGTTACCTAGCAGTAAAATAGGTACCTGGGTGTTAGTCAGCTGTCACTGGCTGCTTCCTGGGGGTGGAGGCCTGGTCAAGGACCGGGCCGCGGGAACACTAAAAAGCTCCGAAATCATCTCAAGATAAGGCATAATCTGGCATAATCTCGGGCTAGGCATAAATGGCGTAATCTGCCATTTGCTTGTGTAAGAAGTGTGTATAGATGACAAAAGTACTTGTTAGTGTATGAAGGGTGTGTAGATTTATTATTTATTTATATACAACAAGGTACATTGGGTTTGGTTGAGTACATAACATTGGTATTTTTACATTCTTGCAAAGCCACTAACACCCATAGCATTTTGGCTAGAATTACAGGACAGAATTGCTTGCTAGTGTATAAAGTGAGTAAAGGACAGAATTACTTGCCAGTGTATGAAGTAGAGTAGAGAACAGAACTGACAATCGAGTTATCCAGTGTTAGGGGATTCATTACCAACAGTTACCTACCATAAGAAAGGGCATCCCAGCCTACCTAAGAAGCACAACCACACTACAAGATCCACAGCTTACTGAACACTTGTCCAGTAAGTTGAACAAGTGTTCAGTTACGCGAACACTGTAACTTGTACAACTAGGCGAGTACTTGAGAGTGCTGGACCCGCTGCCCGCCAGACCTGCCTCTGACAGTTCGTCTCATTTCCTTAATAATCTTTCTAAAATGAACCACGCAAACGGTATCTTGTGCAGCCCACATGTTAAGCGTGACACCTGGCTCCCCGAAGGACCGGGAATATTACAACAGGAAGCTGCGCACTAAAGAACGTGAGAATTTTCACTTGACATACATAGCAGTAGTGATGGAAAAAGAGCTGCTATTTAAAATATTTAACGTCATAAATCAGCACCTACCAATTCTTTTTGATCCTTATTCATCCACATTCGTTAGAGGACGTTTAATAATCCAAAGTGAAAGATCTGTCACATGATTACCTGTGTAATCCACCAAGACCCGAGGAGCTCCCTGTAATTCACCTGCGAACACAAACATTCAACATGGCCACTAACCCTCAGGTGCCACATGTTATACCTCTGCGGCGGGAATATTTATCTCAATATAAACAAATTTCTTCAGTTTACCTGCTTACGAACATTACAACGATTTTTTATTATTAAGTAAATATGGCCATATAATGTGGTTAAGAGCATATATTCGAGGAGAGATCAGAGGAGACATGGCAGGCCAGCATGCCCCCGGGGTGTCAAATGAAAGCTATGGAATGCGAGATTGCTTCGCGTCTGAGTCTCGGGTTCATTGAAATCACCACTTTATTCAGGCACAATTACCTGTTAATATTACAGTTATTGTCATTTCATTGTGAATGAATAATCATAAACAGACTGGCTCTCACCCAAAACTTGCCAATCACTTACGACTTTAATAAAAATTCTCGTAGCACAAAATAGTGGAGGAATTCCATTCACAGATCTTCACATAATTTAACTTTATGTCGCTGTACATATATATACATATTGGCTATTGTCAACGTATTAATTAACTCTATAGCTACTGATTAACTATAGGTACATAAAGAAATAAAGACAATTTATAATGCAATGAAGTTAATGAAATAAAGTATCATTTCTAGGTGACAGAGAAAGATGAAATTGCTGGCAATGAACAAAACATACTGAATAATTACTCGAATCTGATGTCCGAATATAATTTAAGAACTTCAATTTAGTTTTAATCTTTTAAATCGAATTACATCCCAGATCGTTGCTTGATATGGTATATCATGCGATTGCACACGATTGTGTAAATAGATTAGTATCAAAACTACTTATATATAGGGTATTTTATAAGTAATTCGCTAATCTCACTGACAGCTGATAGCCGAAAGCGACTTTTATTTAATTCAATGAATTTTCTAAATTACTACCATATAAGACTTAAGAGGATTGAGAGCATTACGGAGCCTTGTTGAGCAAGGTCAGCTAACACCAAGGTCACTTATAAATATGGGTCGGGCAGTGATGCCAAGCAGGTCCGGTTTATTGCAAAAACTGATGCAGTTATTATATTACCTTTTAGTATAGCGTTACATTGACGAATGGGTAAATCTCTCAATGTCTCATATTAATAAATATAATAAGATGATAACTAATGTGGGACAATGTATATGATCGATGACATGTGCACTAGTAGATCGAGGTAGATTATAAGGTCATATAGACATGTCTGCAGTAGGCATACACGAATGTTAAATTTAGAAATAATCTGAATATATATCTTAGTATAACAAAAATGCTATTATAACCTCAAATCATACGAGCCCCGACCAGATCTCTAATCCTATCTATGGAGGACAGAAGAGAATGTATAGATGCTGATTAGCATGGTAAATGTGAGGCCACGTCTGTGGTAGAAAATAATAATAATAATAAAAACTCCATATGCTTCCACCTTGGAGTTGGTGGTGCTACATAGCCTTCCCGGTTTGGTGCCTTCTTTTGATAATTACTTACTAATGATACTGGTAATGGTTCAGAAGGGCCACCGTTTACGGGCTATTCATGCCCGTGCCACCTCTTTAGTGACTTAATCTTTATCAATCAATCAATCTTGGACACACGGGAGACATCTCCCGTCACGCAGGGTGCAGTCGCACCTCCACAGATCTCCAGTATCAGCTCTTGATACTGGTAATGGCTCAAAAGGGCCACCACTTATGGGCTATTCATGCCCGTGCCACCATTTGGGTGGCTTAATCTTCATCAATCAATCAATCAATCTTGGACACATTCACGGGAGACATTTCCCGTCACGCAGGGTGCAGTCGCACCTCCACAGATCTCCAGTATCATCTATTGATACTGGTAATGGCTTAAAAGGGCCACCACTTACGGGCTATTCATGCCCGTGCCACCTTTTGGGTGGCTTAATCTTCATCAATCATCAATCGAATAGCCACCACAGCCCCGCTCCTGTGCCAGGTAAGTCCACTACGGGCTCACTTGGAACTACTACCACCTCAGCTTCTTGTCCGTGCTACTTGGAACTTTTTGTTCCAAGTAGCCGAATCTATAACAACAACATGAATAGCCAACTGTACAATTTCCACAGTCAAGAATGTAGCACTCGGCGTATGCAGTTCTAATCGACCCCAGACGCTACAGCTTCGACACAGAGCAGACAGCAGACTAGACGACCACATCGAATTACAACGCTCTCGCTCCTCATCAAGTTTAGACACTTACGATTCTCCATCGAGCCGCCACGCTCTCCCACATAGAGCTCCACGACTCCGGCTTCGCTCAGCTCTCTGCTCTGCTCTAAGCTCCGTTTCAACGTCCACGACACTGCTGTATCCAAGATTACTAAATAAAAATGAAAGCCCACTAAACACTGTGTATCTAAACTACTCAACAACGTAACATAATCGTACGTTACAGTACCATCCATGCCGAGCTCATCTTATCTTGTGTTTATCTTGAGATGACATGGGTAATCATGGGTAAAGTTAAGCACTGAGCTTTGGATAAGTAGATTCCTAGAGGTCTTTCACACATACGAATATATCATCGATGTATCTGCAGTAGATGCGAGGTTTTCCTGTGGTGTTGAAGATGGTTTATGAATCATATATAGTATATATGTCCATTGACCCGTATATATGTGTGTATATACAAAAAATTCAAATAAAATATACAAGTTCTTACATTCTTATACAGCCACTATAGCACACAGCGTTTCGGGCAGGTCCTTAATCCTAATTGTTCCCCCTGGAATACGAGCCGCCAAATCGTTTAACACTGATCATTATAATCAATATATCCACAGTTTTAGTTAAAGTGAGTTAATTCTTATATTGAATTAAGACATTTCATTATTAATTATATAGCTTAATTTACATCTGCATTATGAATTTAAGTTTATGCTTTTACTTTGCCACGCTAATGTAAATTTATGCGGTTAATTAAATAATACACAGCTGAACGTGTCTATATACAGGCTTATTAGAAGGGGTTTCCGGCAGTGCCCGGGTCTGCCAGTCTCTCCCCTCATTTCCCCCAATCTTTACCCCTCTCCTCTCTCCCATCAGTCGTCTTCTCCCTTCTTCTCCAATCTCCCCCCCCCCTTCTCCACATCTTCCCCCTTTCTTCTTTTTCTCTTCCAACGTCCCCATTTTCCTTCCCTCTCTCCCTTTTAAAATCTCTCCCAGAAAATGTAATGTATAAAGAACTGAAACTGCTAAATGACTACGAAAACACAACCTCTATTTCACAAACTTCATGAAAATTGCAGGGGATGGGAGGGAGGGTGTCATCTTGGAAAGGTCGGTTGAGGATAGTTCCAAACTCTCTGCCTCCGAACTTCGGACACACAGACAGACATGCAAACAGACAATCTAGCATAATCTTTTATAGATCCTACGAGGAGTAGCCGGCTGCACCCGGGTCTCTTCCTCTTTTCTCCCAATCCCTCCCCCTCTCTCATCTCTCTTTCGCTATACTTCCTCTTTTCCTATCTCCCTCTCCTCCGGTCTGCAACTTTCTCCCTCAACATCCCCCCTCTACCCTGTCACACACACCTTCCCCAATCTCCTCCTATCTCACCCCTCTCCTCTTGCCTCCCCCCCCCCCCATCTCACACCTTCGTTATCTTCAAACATCTCCAGTCTATCTTTCAGAAAAGTGAAGAAGCCTAGGGACTCGATCAGCCACCTTTCACTGATTAGGTTGGGAGACGGGGGGAGGGGGGGTCACATGTGGGGCCCCACCCTTCATAATAGGTCCGACCCTGATCAGCCTATGTCCATCCCATACCTCAGACATTCATTCTTCAAAGTTAGGTGAGGCTAACTCCAAGCACTTCCAACCTTGGTTAGACAGTCATGGAAACAATCAATCATTCTGATCTCTTATAGATTAATTAATAATTAATGTGATCCCACGTGCATTATCTATTTTAATTAAGCCTTGAATCAAATACAAAAGTAGTCACTTGCTTAGTTAAATGAACTATGGAGTTCAGTTCTTGAACCCATTATGTGCCTCTGTAACCCTTTCCTCCGCCGCCCACAGTGTAACACCCATGATTACCCCCCCCCCCGCAGAACCACATCCAGGGAAGCCTTCCCCAAGGGGTCAGCCCAGATGACCTCTGGATCGTCTTGCAAAGTTAATTAATATATTCCTGGCTAGCCTTAGTCAGCTAGTTTCAAGGAGGTGATATTAATCATGATAATCTTGTCAACCATTTTAATGCAATTATAACTCCCAGAGACCTACCCTTTGTCAGGTCAGCCATTTGCAGTGGTTGTGCAAACATTCGTAAGGAAAACGTTTCTTCCGAGAGGCAGTTGTCTTGTGTGATCTCGAGAGTATTTTTCCATGTATAAATTACTTAATAATTGCCAGTGTAATGACTTAGGAATTGCCAGGGTATAGGGACTTAGTATTTGTAGGGAATCGTGATTTAATAAACTTGTTAACTTTCCATCTGTATGAATCACTTGGTTTCCACTTTGTCATCAAGGACATTGAACCCCCCCCCCCAATCCTATGTGTTCAGTTTATTAACAACCGATTAGTAAGGAATGACATCTAGAAGAGAACTCTCAAAGCCAAGCAATGCTTCTTGCCGCATTGCTTGATGAAACTTACTGCCCAGGCAAGATGGTGGCGGCGTCTAATAAGTTTTCTGTGTAGCATTTCCTTGGAAATGTACCATTGGTACTGGGTGTACCATCCGTGGTACCCTATATTTGAGTTCATATTACATTGCATCTAAATTAAGTGTTACAATAACTAGTATCATCAAGGTTTTACCTCAATAACTTGTTACAAAGTGTTACCAAGTGCAACCAGTAGAAAGTGTTACTCAGTATTAATCAGAATTATCAGTGATTAGTATATTCAATGTTACAACAGGATGCGTATGGGGTGCATAATAAATAAATGAATCGGTCAAAATCAACTATGTTTAAAGATTGCGTATTATCTAAAATTGTTGAGAAACTGATGTACAAGTAACTTTACTCTTACTGTACCTAGTCAAACATGATATTCGTATATCCTGGCGAAAATAAGTACCCAATAGGACTACTTGTTGACTTTCGAAATCCTTTGATTCCGTTCACCTTGATATCCTTCTCCTTAAATTGCATCACTATGGAATTGGGGGTAACTCCCTGGAATACATCTGATCTTGCCTCAGTGACATACTCCGCGTGTATGTGATCAATGTTAAGTATCCCACCTGCCAATTAATATCGGGGTTCTACAGGGGTTACACATTTGGTTCACTCCTCCATCTCATACATACCAATGACCAACCCAAATATTATGCAACCAATTTTTGATGCAGCAGTAGTAATAATGGTAGTACTAGTAGTAGCATCGTAATTATTACTTGTATACATATCTGCAAGGTAAGAAACGAATCAGAACTGGTAGCCACTTACCTAGCAGTAAATAGGTACCTGGGAGTTAGTCAGCTGTCACGGGCTGCTTCCTGGGGGTGGAGGCCTGGTCGAGGACCGGGCCGCGGGGACACTAAAGCCCCGAAATCATCTCAAGAAGATATAACCTCAAGAGGAAGGATGTACAAAAGCATATATTGTCCTGGGGTCACGATTAGTAGAATAAATGCATAGATATTTGGAATAAGGCAAATTCGCTATTGAGATTTATTTCCAGAAACGTTAGCAATAAAGCACCGTTGGTCCGATCCAACATAAATGACAATTTGGCACGATTGTCTATGCTACTGTAGTCACTTTTTCCCTGCCTTAGACAGACATTTATTAATTGCTCTGCTCTGAATGTTGTGACTTTTGTTAAGTAAAAATAGCTATTTAGACTGGTTACATCTATGATAATTCTCTAGAATAGATGAACTGTGTTTTAGTGTACTAATAATGGGTAAAGGCAGTCTGTTTTCTACGAATTTGAATGAGCTCTTTACAAGGATAACATTCACATCCCTTCCCGTGTTGTATATTATTTTATTTTTCCTTCTTTGAGTCATACAATTTTTTGTCTAGTTTTTGCTTTACATTATCTTTACTATTTGTATCCTCCTTATTTTCCTGCTGCAAATGCACGTGCTACTTTTGGAATGTGGGGAAGAGTTCTGGTGGAGGAAGCTTTGATTATATTGATCATTATATATGGTTCTCCACTACCTAGGACAGGAAAACCTGTTAGGCTTGTCAATGAGGGGGTCACTCTTTAGCCTCGAGGCTAAAGAGTCCTCACCAAAGATGCAACCCACAACAATTGCCTAACATATGAGCAGAAGTATCAAGTGAAAGGACACCTGAAAGACTGACTCAAATGCACTTGTAACTAGTTTCACATCACAGAAATTGGACTGTACAGTACTATTATAAAGTAACACTTTCACCATTCAATTTTTTTTCTATTTCAACTCTCGGTAGAATAAGACCAAAAACTGGTGTTGTAGCCAAAGGGGACAACTGTGAAACACTTACTATAGATAACCAATCATTGGATACTACATGGTGTAATATCAACTATTTAAAACCGAGATGAAATATCCATGATTAAATACAAAGAAAATCTATTTTAAATGAACCAGGTTAATGCAAAATGCTGTTGGTTTATATCAGTTAATTTTTCATCAATTAGTGTAAGCAAAGTAATAGTGTGATACTCCAACAACTGTCAGTTTTGTTTACACTCCATGTATATAAACTAATCAAAGATGCCTGGTAAACTGAACTTTTTTAGCCATTTGGTTTGTCACCACAAAAAAAAAGAATGGGGGAAGTCATGGACAAATATTCAGTTAACATGAAAACAAGTAAATCTCATTTATTTTTTATTTATAATAAATATCATTAAGCTATCACCATGACAATCTTCAATTAAAATTACAGAGGTATCATTATATACTTGCAGTATATTAGAAGTGTACTGCGATAAGCTCATTGAAGTAACACCTTAACATTAGCAAATTCTTCAGATGGAATGCAACATCCAAAAAATTAAGACATACCAATAAAACCTGTCAATATTACTTGAAGCATAGTAATTAAATAACAAAGCACTCGCTATACTGTATACATTATTAATATGTATTTTATTAAGTACATATTTTAGCAAAATACCCATGCTAAAATGAATCTTCCCAGTTTTTCACACGCTTTGCTTTAAGAACAGACAGCTTTTGAATAACATCTTCAACACTATGCTCACCATGCACTTTATTATCGCGTGTACGCACATTCAGCGTATTGTTGGTCTTCTCTTTTTCCCCGACCACAAATATAAAATTGTACTGCTCAAGTTGTGCATTTCTTATCTTTTTATTCATGGTGTCACCAGGATCAGTGTCATAGTCTGCCTGGAACCCAGCATCATGAAGCTGTTTACAAACACTCTTGGCATAATCATCAAAAGGCGAGGCTACTGGCACAATCATACACTGACGAGGAGATAACCAGAACGGCCATTTGCCACCGTAGGATTCTGTTAGGATGGCAATCATCCTCTCCACAGAACCTAGAATAGCTCTGTGAATGATTACAGGACGCTTCTTTTCACCTGTCTCGGATACATATTGCAAGTCAAAACGAATAGGAAGCTGGAAGTCCAGTTGTATAGTGGCACACTGATGTTGTCGTCTTAAGGCATCTGTGACGGTGATATCAATTTTTGGACCATAAAAGGCCCCGTCACCAGGGTTAAGTTTCCACTCCATGCCAAACTCATTAAGAGAGTTTGTAAGTTGCTGTTCTGCATCATTCCAAAATTGAATCTCCCCCAAGAATTTCTCTGGACGGGTAGACAATTTAAGTAAAAATTCAAATCCAAAGCTATCATATACTGCAGACAAAAATTCAAGGCATCCCTTAATTTCACTCTGAATCATCTCAGGTGTACAGAAGATGTGTGCATCATCCTGCTGGAATCGTCGTACACGAGTCAAACCAGTAAGAGCTCCTGAGAGCTCATTACGGTGTAGTACACCAAAGTCTGCCATACGGAGGGGAAGCTCTCTCCATGACCGAGTAGTATGCCCAAATATTAAGCAATGCCCAGGGCAGTTCATAGGTTTGAGAGCAAACTTTTCTTTCTCTACTTCAAAAGCAAACATATTTTCAGCATAATGTTGCCAATGACCAGAAGTTTCCCATAGTTTGGTGTTGTAAACATTTGGGGTCACAACCTCTTGGAAACCTCGTTTGCAATATTCATCACGGATAAAATCAATCAAGGTATTGTAAATGTATGCCCCACGAGGTGTGAAAAAACAGCTACCAGGACTCAACTCGTGGAAGAAGAATAGCTTCTGCTGAACACCTGAAATTAATAATGATAATTTAAACAGGTATATTATGAAATTTCGCAAAATACATATATTTTAATATTACACCAATGCCATTTCTGCATTAGGCTAAGTGTAAAATAACGTATTCTAAATACATTTAAAGCTGGGTAACTCTCTCTCCAATTCCTTGTTTTCTCACAAAACTTCCCTTCTGTATAAATTTCACACATTCTTTTATGATTTCAGGTGTTGACCAACAAATCTAAAAAATATTTGACCAAGATTGTTTTAGCTTATTTGTTTATTGTTCAGCTGTTGTATATAGGCAATAAACTGATTAGCTTCAGTCCAACATAATTAGGTATAAGTTATGTTATTGTAAATACACTTTTGTTTTCGCTTCTGTTCTCTAAAGAATTTATTTGCGAACATTCTGACACTAAATTTATAGTTATAATCCAAGAAATAACAGATGTAAAATTATTGAAATTTTTTAAGCATCACCGAGTGGTATCTACCAAGCCCGGTATATTTATATTCAGGAACACAGAGAGGAGCAAAATCTATCATGAAAAAACTTTTATGCATTTATTCTCGACATTTAATTTGTGAACATTTTGACACCATTATAGCTATTACCCAATAATTAACACAAAGTTAAAAACAATTGTAAACATTTTTTGCATCACTAAGCGGCCGAAGTAATTCGTAACATTTACAATTGGGAATGTGTGGAAAGGCTGGACCACCAAAGTGTTAATGATTGTCACCTTATAACCCACTCGGTAAATTCTCCATGTTATCCACCTCCTCATGGCCTATTTGAAAAATGCTATATCCTCATTCATTGTCTTTTTGTTATATACACATCATCTTGGCTTCCTATCCCTTCCCCCCCCCCCTGCCTTCAAACTCACCCAAACTCTTACCAAATACTAGTAAAATACTTTACCAGTCTACCAGTGTATTTAATTTTATCAAAATGCCTAAACATGTTGAGATCCACACATGCAACTTAATTATATGGTTTGTGGATATTTGCACTTCACATCTCATAACTTTCCTACCCATTTCCATTCTACAAACAACACATGCCTCTCAGTTCCCTTATTTCTCCTGCTATAATTCCTGATTTGAGATATTCACATCACACCATTCATCTGCATAAAACTGATATAAGAACTTACCAATTTTTCTGTGATCTCTCTTTGCAGCCTCTTCTTGGAAGTGCTTCCACTCCTTCAACTGCTTTGGATCAGGAAAGCTGATACCATAAACTCGCTGGAGGGACTCTGCTTCACTATTGCCTTCCCAGTACGAGGAAGAGTTTTTTGTCACCTGATGGAATCTTTTTTTATTATCAAAGTCTTTTTATAATCATTAAACTTTACCATCAGTTTAATATTTGTGTGCAATACTTATAAAGGAAATCGAAAATGAGGGAGCCATAATGCCCACCATTTAAAGATTCTCTTAAGCATTAGCAGGACAGTATTTATGTACAGGCATACCTCAGAATAAGAGTTTAATCCGTTCCTGGAGACGCCTCGCCTTCCGAAAACTCGCATTCCGAAGTTAATTTCCCCATAAGAAATAAAGGGAAATGAATTAATCCGTTCCTGACTACCCCAAAAACCCCACATCAAACTAAATTTTTATACCTAATTTACCTAATTCATCTAAATAAACCTACAAAACTGTGTTCCAGTTATTACTTACCTTGCTATCGAGTGCTGTAGGCGTATGGAAGATGGTGAGGAGGGGGGAGGAGGAGAGGAGTTACTGTTTGGAAGGGGAGTCCCCTTCCATAATCACATCACATAACCCCATGCCTTGTAACACTATGGATACCACTTCTCTTTCTAAATTTTTCAAACCAGCCCCTGCTTGCCTTAAACTCTTTCTTATCTGCATCACTCGTTGCAGGTGTATTCTTTAGAAGGTCTTCGTGCAACACCCTGGCTTTCTCACAAATAATGGCCTCCGAAACACTATCACCCCTCAACTCCTTGTCGTGTATCCAAATTAATAACAACTTTTCCACTTCAAGTATTTGTGGTCTTTGTGCCGTTAATGTTCTTACTCCTTTTGCCACTTTAGCACCCATAATCTTATTTTTCTTCTTAAGTATAGTGCATATTGTTGATGTGGCTTTGTTGTACTGCCTACAAAGTTCAACAACACGTGTACCGTTCTCATGCTTCCGAATGATCTCTTGTTTCTCCTCTATTGTCATCCTCACATGAGCTTTCTGGCCTTTATCCTTACCACTGGCTTTCTTGGGACCCATGGTGAGATATATAATAACAAATTGTATAGACAAATCACCAAAAATCCAACAAAACACTGAAAATCCGCGAGAAGAATTGATGTGGGGGTAGTCACTGAGCGCGAGACAATAATAAACTGAGGGGCGGAGGGGCGACGAACGCGCTAGGTCGGCTGTACGCGTATCAACAAACTCGCGTCCAAACTCGCCTCCCGAAGTAACCATCGCCTTCCGAGACAAATTTTTGGAGTAAATACACCTCGCCTTCCGAAAACCTCGCATACAGGGACAATCGCATTCCGAGGTACCACTGTACAAAACTGACAAATAAAAATGTAAATGGTAACAGTAATAAATAATCAGAACCCAAAAGATTTAAATTTTCATGAGGGGTAGGAAAGAGGAATATAAGTTATTTAAATGCATTGTAGATGAAAATGATCAAGTTAACAAGTTAGCTATAATAGTGTTCTAAAATAATAATAATGTATAACAATCTCCAGTTGACTAAATTTATTCATACCCTTTATTCAATGCAATTAAAAGTTTGCTTTACAAAAAAATTTTACTTTAAGGATTCACTTAAGGCACACACATGTGTTTAGTTTTACAACTGGGTTAACTTTTTTTTTATTATTCCAATTCATTTTCATTATACTTCTCCAATCTAACATATTTAATTAAATTCCATAACACTTACTGCAAATGCTTTAACCTTCCCAGTATGGCGTACATGAGGTCCTCTGCACAAATCAATGAGAGGGCCACAGCGGTACACAGTGGTGGTGTCAGTCTTCACCTTTTCATTCAAAAGTCGCACCTGGGAAGCACAAAAAATCACATGAAGATTAAACAACTTTTTTTTTAAGAAGGACTACTTTAAACTTTATGCTCAATAAATAAAAATTATGCCTTTTTACTACATTATACAGGTAAATAAAGTGTATACATACAGTTGAATCCTGCTTAATTGAACCCAGTCCACACTTGGTTTGAATGTAATGAATAATTTATGTTGTGTTTGAAAGATCGCTAATGTAAAATGGAAGCAGCAGTTGAGTGGAGGGGAATGCGTGTTTGTAAAAATACTATTTTCTGAGCCAAAGCCTTTCAAATGATCCATGAGCCAGAGCCAATATGGTCCATCCATAACCCTTATTACCTACCAAGCTTTCAATGACTGTCCACTACACTACTGTGATATGGAACTTTTAAATGTTCTTGTCATATGATTGGGTAAGGAAGACTGGCAAATCCAATGAGTAACCAGCTCGCAATAAGAGTAATCAATACCTCTAAACACCCCTACAAGGGATAATTACAAATGCAAGGAAACCCAAATATCGCTCTGCAAACTACTACTGTAGTTAATAATCAAAGGTTACTGAATTGCTACCAGGTGACAACTGACACCACAATAGAGTTGAAGGAGTTGGCAACCTTCACTTTGTGATTGGCATGCACCTCTTGCTCACCCAGGCTCTGTAGTGGACAGTTGTCAAAGTGCAGGGTTTGCTTCACTGTGGTTAACCACTTGTTTGTGTGAAACTGACTATGTTACAGCAATAGCTGTGCCACAGAGTTGTCTTTCCTGGGATAACCTATATTTAACTATACAGTACCATAATTTAAGGCAAATACAAAAGCAATAAAAGAAAGAGTCCTGGGAGTAGACATAATCCCAACACTGTAAGGAAGGGATCCTTTTTGGAAGAATGTGTTGGTGTTGATAACTGGCGGTGAAAAGTTAAACCTGTGTTGGTTTGTAAGGGAAAGACATTTGGAGTTCACACAAGTGCAGTGGCTAGTTCTGCACATGTGCAGTGTATTGTCACAGTGTGAGGATGTTCCCCTCTGAAAGAATATAAACAATTCAATGAAAGAAATCGAGTGTGATCATCAAGGAAAATAAATCGTCTCCAGATCATTCTGCGACTGAAAAGGTACTGTAAAAATCAGCGTTAAATGTTGGAAACAAGTTTGGAACTCAATGAGATAAAGAAATAAATAATTTTGGAATACAATTTGAAAAAGGATGTTGACTAAACCAAACACCAGAAGATGAAGAAACGACGATATTTTGGTCCGTTCTGGACCATTATCAAGTCATATATGATTATGACTTTATAATGGGGATGTTTGACCATAAGGATCATTAGAGTAGACTCCAGTAGTCTTTATATTTCTATGCAGTAAGGATGGGTTTCGATAGCTTGTACCATAGGGTACGGCTTAGAAGCTTATGCCATTTACAACCAGAAGCTCGCGTGAACAGAACAACATCATCAGCATATTTGGAAGTTAGGCAACATAACATTTAAGAATCTAAACGAGAAGGCCTTAAAGTCCATACCTGCTGCCTGTGTGAGACCATTACTAGAGTATGCAGCACCAGCATGGAACCTACATTTTGTGACGCACAAAAAGAAGCTTGCGAAAGTTCATAGGTTTGCAACTAGATTAGTACCAGAATTGAGAGGGTTTGGCTATGAGGGCAGGCTGAGAAAACAGCCACAAATCCTTATAGGAAAGAACAGAGGGGATTTGATCACTCTGTACAAGATCCTGATAAGAACAAAGTGGATAATGAAAGCTTAAATTCAAAAGAGGTAGGACAGGGGGACACCAGTGGAAACTGGACATGTAATCAAGTCCAAGATGTAAGGAAGTTCTTGTTCCTGCACGAGTGAAATGCATTAAAAGGCCAATTCCATCTACAACTTTAAGAAACACCATGATGAAAACACGAATATTAAGCGAGGTAATTAGGGCATCAGGAATAAATGGCTAAGATGTGGAGCATAAAGAGCTAGGTCTCACTTCCCTCAATGAGAAGTAAGCATTGTTTGCTAAGGTCCTCAGCCCAAAAGATATCCTTGCTGAAGTTTGATACTAACTTCTGAATCTTTGGTCAATTCATTTTTTCCCAATTAATTGCCATGGTTTCTTTCCTTTATGTGCCAGATTGTTAGCCATTTGTGTGTGTGTGTTCCCAAAGTGTTTTCTGGTTTTCCTACCAGGTCTCCACAGGTGTGCTCATGGTTTCTGCGTGCATACCCAGGTCTCTGTTACCTGGGTTATTTCCAAGATTTACCCAAGGGGTGGATCTGAATTCACAGTAGGTGACTTCTCCAGGTATGTGTCATGTGTCACAGGCCCATAGTTTTTGTATATTCTTACATGAACCCCCTCTCTATTGTACTTTAATACTTTTGAAATGTGTATAATTATTGTATCCATCAACCAGGATTGTGTCTTAGGCTTCACACACTATCCAGCATGTGGCATTTGTACAAATGTTTACATGAGGATGATAATGAATAATAACTATCATAATTGTGATTTCAATTTTGTTTAGGCGAGTAATATCTGAAGAACCTTCTAAATATTTATACTAATAGCAATTGTAGAATTCACTCAATTTTCACAAAGATTATTACTTACCCTTTGCCAAATAAGAGGAACATTATCGAATAGAAATAATAGAAACTAACCTTAAATTTGTTATATTTAAACATTTCGAGGAGATCTTCCTTTTTCATTTCTAGCCTTTCAAATGGCTGTTTTTCTTTGGTGATCTTCTTCATGACCTCTTCAATACCAGGAAAGTCCAAATTGGACACCCCTGGGCCATCAGTATGCATGTCATAATAGTAGCCTTCCTCAATGGGAGGGCCGTAACAAAGGTGGCCACCGTACACACGTTCTAAGGCTTCACCCAGGATATGAGCCGTCGAGTGCCAGAACACCTATGTATAAAAGCATTATTACCATTTTTACAAAAAAATTATTTTTTTTTTTTTGCTTTTAATATGTTACCACTACAATTAAGTATGTGTGAATTCAAAGTATTAAAAATATAGAGCTGATCTAATTTGTTGATAATGCCTTAAGTCCAGATACCTTGTTATGAATTTTTAGTTTTCTGCTACAAATTCTTTATGTATTATCAAGGATTCCAGGTTGTGTTCCATTGTCCCCAAATGGACATACAGTACATTCAAGAGGTTTTAAACTAAACACTTACATTACCTAATATTTCTGAGTATGGAATTTGCAAGAGAGCACCTTGATGAAAACATTTACTGTGTGCTATATTATGAACGAAAGACTATTAAAGATATGTGCTGCATCTTATAAGCTTGAATACAGCACTGCATTCACATGCAGTGAATTCATTATAACCTTGACTTCCATTGATATCTAGAAAAGGTCTGGATGTCTACATTACTATTTAAATACTGTGTCCTTCAGAGGTCGTATACTGTAACTGTACAACTGTCTGAAAACATATTAATTTATTTTACCTGCTAGAGTATAACCTTGAAATTTATTGGATTTGTTTGCATTAAAAACTTATCAGTTTATAATAAAAATTCAGTTTATGCCAATATTTATTGTTAGGTTCAGCCTTTTCATTATGTCAAATCCCTCTTTCCATAAGCATCCAACTCAAAAATTGCATTTCATGTAACACAAATTCAATATTTATTTTTATTTTTAATTTAATGTAACAAACAATAAAATATGTTCAGTGGATTATGTACAACCTGTAGAAGGATCAATATTCTAACAGTGAATCTATGGTCCCCCCCCCTCAAAAAAAAAAAAAAAAAAAAAAAAAAAAAAAAAAAAAAAAAGACACTTACAGTTTTTGCCTCTTCGTCATTAAACTTCAACAACTCTAGCTTGCAGTCATGTTCTAGAGGACGATCGAGATCCCAAACTACTCCATTCACCTTGGCCACTATCGTGTTTTCGGCCAGACCCTGAGAGATACTCTGTGCTACTTCAAATGGAGTAGTACGCCAAGAGTTGCCATCTTTCACAGCTCCATCAGGCAAAGTAATCTGTAAATAATATTTCCTTTAGGCAAATATAAATAAAAAACGATGCCAATTAAAATGCGATTTGGTGCCTGCTTTAAAGTAAAATTAAATACAAAATTACTATACATGTCTAAATGATAATACATTACTGGGTACAACATTAAACATAGTACTGTACCGCATTAGGGCAAATATACTGTAACCAAGTCAAACAGCACCAGAATAAATCCATTATTACACATCTCTAATTAGCCTACTACGTAATAGCATACAACAGATATTGTACCTACTTTGATGGGTTCAGAAACTTTGGCTTTAAGAGATTCATCTGCTTCCTTCTTGAGTCTGTCCCACATGTTAAGGCGCTCCTGAATGAAATCTGGCCATGGATTCAGCTCTACAGCCGCCTTCCCACTTCCTCCCCCTTTATCCTTTTTAGTCTGTAAAAGAAGAATTATATATATTATGTACCTTGAAGACCAATCTATGCAAGGGGGATTTAATTGACTAAAAGATGTAAATTATTTAACAAAAAAATTTATTATTTAACGTGATTGAACCTCAGAATTAAAAAAGTTATAACATAGATGCCAGTTGTCAGTACAGTACCAAGAAATAAAAATGCATCACTCAAAACGAAACCAATCAAAAAAATTGATTTTAAATATTTGCAATAATTTCCCACAAAAACTTTTCAAATTGTTATTAGAGCAGTACACTGAAGTAGATACTGTTTATACCTTCATTTTTCCATGCTCAATGGATGACCTTACGAACAAAATCTTAATTTCACCATCTCATAAAATAAAACTCACTATGAGAACCTGACAATGCAGATTTTTCAATCTAATCCCTAGACAGTATTTCCTATGGCTAGTATTTAATATATGCAAAATCTTAAAAGTTATAAGCATACACAAGGACAACAGCTATAAACTCAAGCTACAGTACAATGTTGGGCAGAAAACATGCTTTTTCACCCATACAGCAAAAAAACAAATTGTACTGCCAACTCGCTAAAGCTGTCAAAGCCAAGATGGCCCTCTAGTTCAAAATTGAAAATCATTTAAAAAAAAATCATTTAAAACGTGTTTAGAGCCATATTAAGTTACCATTCATATCCTTATGTTTTCCATGCTCTATGGGGTGATTTCGGTTAGCAAAATTTTAATTTCATCCCGTCATAGGAAGAAAGCTACCAAGAGAACCTATCTGTAGAGATTTTAGCCACATACAGCATATTTACTACACCCTTGCATCAAAAACTCATTTTAAACAAGAAATAGGCCCATATTTGTGAATAAAAAATCTGGAAATCTCAAAAATGAAAAAGAACCATAGAATTTGGTTTTAAATGTACTCAATGGTTTTCCCAAGGCTTCAACTCATTCTTCTGTGTCAATTTACAAAAATCATTAAAAACATAATTGGAGCCATTACAGTTACCATTCATACCCTAATATTTCCCATGCTCTATGGGCTGATTTCACTAAGGAAATTCTTAATTTTTAACCTATATGATGGGCACATTTTCCACTGGTCTGTGAACTGTCCCAACATTAAGTAAATCCACACATTACCCGCTTTAGCGAAAAGTCCATGGAATCGGGCGAGTAAATACAGCCTGGAAAGTAGGCATTCTAACCAGTGATTCACCGAATGGAGGTTCCACTATTTGATTTTGTTATTTTATAGGCAAATGTACAAAATAAAAATGCCACTAATGTTAGCTAAAGAAACCACACTATCAATGAGCCACTGAACACAGAGTGTTTGGTGCCAAAATCTAAAACATCAGACTGCTAGTGTGTCTGTACCAACAGAGCCAAACTTCCAGGAACCAGAAACATTGTTATTGTAGGTGGTGCCTAACAAGGTAAGGGACATCTGACGGTGACAGAAATTTTGAGGCCTTCATTTTTCATCAATACCTCGGTGGCTAGTGCATTTAAAGCCTCTATTCCAATGTAGCTTTATTGATCATTGTCTCTTTAGCACCACACTAAGATTTATAATGAATGTAATACAGTATATCTTTTTAAGTGATCATCAATAATATTCTATAGTGTCTGAAGACCAGTGACTTTACCTTTATATATTACAAAGTACAAATTATAGAATGAAGTGTTGATCATTTGCAAACATGTTTTGACAAAATGAAGCAAGCATAAAGCCCATATTTGGGTAGTTGTTAGCCTTGCATGTGAATAATGTTACCTTTGATATGACCTATTTGTGCTAAGGTACTTAGCACAAATAGGTCATATATAGGTACCTTGGGCTAGGTACTAAGTATAAATTGCACTTTCTACACCCAAATCAAAGCAGTACATGCATAGTCCTGTACTGTACTAATATTTGTAGTGCAGGACTATGCATGTGCAGCTTTTCTGAGCTGCACCACTCGCGTTACTTCCTTCAGCAAGACCTACCTCATAAAGAACTACTATAAACTGGAAGGGATACATGTACCTATACTGCAGAGGGTTATCAGATAGTTGTGGAGAGAAAAACAATGAGGTGATCTGCATCTCAGGAGACCCAAAACAACCAGGGCTAAGATTCATCATTCATTTATGGCTCTATTTATCAAACGGCTTTCCTTAATCACGGCGGTTTAGTCTATTTATTAAATATTTAAAAACTTTGAATATTTGCAATACTTATTATTTTAAAACTCAAAATATTTAATAAATGCAAACTAAACTGCAATAATAACTGAAAAAAATATGTACAGGTTTCACAAGTGCTTGATAAATCCTGACCCAGATACCTAGATCCCTGCCTAAGATGGGCATTGGATGCAGAATTGCTGAAGTACTGCACAACACTTTACCAGCAAAAGTGGGGAAGCTGAGGGACTTGGGATTCCTCAACCTCAAGACAGTGGGACAAAGTTACAACCAGTCAGAAAATAGGGAACAAAAACATTAAAACCAGAAGTGTACAAGAAATACTCATAGCCAACCTCCAGTATTGAGACATGGACTGGAGATGTATCAAGCTTCCCAGAAAGCTCAGCTGGGAACCAGAGTTCAACTAGCCACAGAGGAGCCAAACCATTTGTTAGGATTGACATTGAGAGCGCATTCAGTGCAAACGAATTGTAAATGTTGAATAAAACACACAAAGAATACCTAAGCAACCAGGTAAATTATTAAAAGAAGGCACCAAACTGGTAGACTATTTAGCACACCCTGTCACAGGATATTAAATTTTTTTAAAGGGTTCTAAATCTCACTCAGATGCCAAGACAAGCAAACATGCCTACGATCCCTTATAATCACTAGAGGAAAATGATCCAGCCATCTCACTAAATGGGGCACATGGAAATCAGGTTGCGTTACAATGCAATACTGTACAGTGAAGACAATCTCAAAATTCCATTTGGAATCCACTATGTTTTTCTTATAACCTGCACCATGCAGAAAAATGTCAAATGTGCATTCAGTCACATCAGCTAACACATGGTTCTCTAACGAGGCAAGAAGCTATACTAGGTCCCAGGACCTTCACTCTGGACCATAGAACAGAAGAGACGTTGTTGCAGGACATATTCTCAGCATGCCTTAACTTTAACTTCCTTAACCAAGAAACAAAGAAACTACAATAACAAGCATAACCTGGGTTAAACAAAAACTAGTCCCATAAGTACCCACCAAAGTGATGTGGCAACTGAATGTGCTCAATATGAACATGCCCAGCACTAACCCTGCCTCAGAATAAACACAGTACCACAGAAACTGTGAAAGTACAGTACAGTAATGGACACATTTCATGAGAATCACCCATGCTGAGGCATAACTCAAACCAGTGTAGAGAAGATGGCAAATGATAGTCGACCAAACCACACACTAAAAATCGAAGAGACGACAATGTTTCGGTACATCCTGGACCATTATCAAGTCAATTGTGATGAGACGAGGGAGGCAAGGGCATTAAGTAGGCAAGAGAGGTGAGGAGATGGAAATCTTAAGAGGAAGACAAGAGCAAGGCAAAAGGAACATAAGGTAAGATGTAATAAAGGGTGTAAAAATAGGAATAAAAAAGGAATCGTAAGAGAAAACAAGAGAAAGAAAAAGAAAGATAAAAGGAAGGGTAGGCTTATGTTAGGTCACATTTGTTAATAAGTTTAGAACAAACTCAAGAGGTGCACTAAAGAGGACGGACCAAAACGTCGTCGTCTCTTCAATTTCTAGTGTGTGGTTTGGTCAAAAATTTTCAGCCACATTTTTGTGACTTTTCATCTGCAAATGCTAATCATTTACCACGTCCAAAGACATGCAGTTGTATACTATAAAGTCTATCATTGCATGCAAAATAATGTCCAACAGCAGCCAGAGCCCACATTACAAAAAATACATCTTTAAGAAATGTAGGGAAGTAAGGCCTGGCTATCCTGTTGACAAGTTAATGCTGATACAGTATCTGCAGATGGTTGGGAGCAGGGTTAGCTAAATGAGTCTACTAACACTTAAAGTACTCCTTGGAAATCTCTCTGCTGCAGAGTAGCATGTGGAGTGGTTTTCAATGTAATTAATCATCTTTTTGAAAATCATTGTGTCAGATAGCATCATTTCCAGTCTCCTGACCCCTAGTATGTCCCAGAGAACATGGTCAACTTGCCCTGACTGTTCAGTAACAGTGAAAGGACCTTGCCTAAGGAAGCAACAAAGTGATGCAGCTAAGGAATAGGATTAATAAGTCAGTTATTACGGGTTACAAAACATTCAGGCATGACATTGATATTGCATGCTAAAATAACTATTTATACGACAAAATTAAAATTACAAATCTGAGAAGTTTATGGTTTTCATAAGATAAATTTTTCTATCAACAAAATTTGTATTTTTATGATTACAGGTACAGTACCAGTAAAAATAAAAATGCCAAACAGTAACAATGTCATATGTCAATATTATAATAATTAGTACAGTATTACTACAGTACACACAATTATTAATTTGTGTACACAAATACATTATAACAGCTCTGTGCTTTGTACTCAAGAAGCTACTCTCTCAAACCTTGAAATATGCCTAATTTGTTGTAGATACACACACAGCTAAAGATACTGGCATGTCAACAGTAAACTGCAGGCAAAACATTCATACTAAATGCTCCTCTAAATTTCCATTGAACATGCAACCATGATCTTTTTGCAATGGTACTTACATTTGTTTCCAGAAATACAATGACTCAATTTAGTCCAATTATTTATCTAATATAGTAATTAATCACAATTCAAAATCCTGGGGTTGTCATCCTAAGATTTCACACAAACATTTATTCATAAAATACATGCCAGTGGCTAATTTAAGGCTATTTGTTTGATCTATTCCATTCTTTATGGGATTAGTTACAAACAAAATAGGCGGATAATGGTGTCATCAGATAAGACTACAGATCCTTTCACATCAAACAACTGAACTGCAATCAAACTAAGTTTACATGCAATTTTGATCCACACAAACATCCCACCAGCAAGCAAAATAAGAAATAAACCATAGTGCAGCAACAATGAAGTCAGAAGTATATGGTTGAATTAACCAATGGACCAGTTGGGCTCCCAAATGTTATTTCTTTCTGGTTTATAGGGCCAATCAGATACAGTATTCTGGTTGTATAAAAACTCACCTTTCCAGTTACTTATGGCATGTTGTAGGTGACAGATTTGTGATTATGGTTTTCATTACTTACAAATAAAAATGAATACTTGGGACAGGCCCTTTTTAATAACAGAAAGCAGTCTTAATTTGCCTAGAGCACAAAAGCCTTAATACAGCCATTTATAACAGATTTAACAGGAAATTGATGAAACAAACTATTAGCTGCACACTCCCAATAGCAAATCAGCAATGGTTATGTAGCTACGGTAGTGAAACACCAACATGCTTATGAGGATATGAAAACATAAAATGATTTGTAATCAATAGTCCAAATCTAGCAATAAGTGTGTGTGTTAAGGTGTATTGTGGTCTCGTAAATTAGTACAGCATTGAAAGAATAAGAGAACTTTTTTTCTGTTAGTGTTACAGGTCTTCAACTATTCATCCCATTATGAGACTTAATTCATCATAGGCCTTATCTTAAAATGGTTTGTGGTAATTAGTTTTCTTATTAATTACCACAAACCATTTTAAGATAGTATCTATAATGCACTCAAGGCTCAAAATGACATGAATAATTGAAATTGAAAATCCTGTACTGTATACTTATTTACTAACATTAGCAGATTATTTTTTAATGAAATTGGTCTTCGATATGCAGACAGTCACAATAACGTGGCTGAAGATATGACCAAATCACATATCAAAGAATGAAGAAATAATGCACATCACACAACTTAATAATGGTCCAGGACGGACCAAAATGTCATCATTTCTTCATTCTCTGATGTGTGGTTTGGACATCACAACCAAGTCTTCATCATGTGCAAAATACTCAGCGCTAGGATTCGCACAGTAATTATCAGTCAATAATCTAGGGCTTTGTGTCACTATTACAAACTGGATGAGATAGGCAGGTATACAGTATACCACATAACTGGATATTTGTGACTTGGCTGTACGTATTTTGATAAGCCATTTGGACTTTCCTGTACTGGTACTTGGTAAAACTACCTCACTCTATAACAGAAACTAAGAATGCCACCTCATTGAAAATTTAACATGAACTTTTGCACTGCTACACAAGTATAATACCTTACAATATACTGAGTGGACCAAAAACTTGAAACAAATTAGCTAGCTACAATGTTACTGAGTAAGTATAGCACAGATGTAAGTCACAAATAATACTGTGTAAGTATAGCATGATGAAAGTTACAAATTCAGTCATCTACAGAATCCCAAAATGCCAATAGCACAAAAAAATATTGAGAAGCAATATTTTTGTATAAATCCAAAACTAAGGGCATTTTATAAAATGTGTGACGTAGTAGAATACATAATGCAATATGAACAGTACAGTAGCAGATTTCATTTCCACGAGTTAATTGTGTGTGGCCAATAAGAAGCTGAATTAACCAAGGTTCCCACATCCTATTATGAAATGAGGAAGGCCATGAAATCTCTTGATATATACACAACAATTAATTACAGGTTTGAGCTAATCAATGATCGTTCAGTTTGTGGACAACATTATTTATTGGTTAAAATCAGTGAATGGAGATAAAGTTTGGAGCATTGGAACATTTATAAATTGCTTCTGATAGTTGTATCTGCAAATGTATTGTAGACAAAGCCTATGTACAGGTAACTAAGTACTCATCAGTGTTTTATATTTGTTAAAAATTAGAGTGTACAGCTAAATGTGGATTAGAATGGATAAACGATTCAATAGCTCAGTCCATTTTATTATTTTATTTTATTAGCCCATACCTTCAAGGTATGGCATTAACATAAGAGCAATTATCAGAAAACACTTTGGTACCAAAATAATAAATACCCAATCATTATTTTTACAAAAAATTTATGATTATAAAACTTTGCATCGTTTACCCATTGGCTATCACTGGTCATAGCACTTGCCCAATGTACAAACTGTCATTCACTGCTTAATTGCATGTTTTACTAAATACCTCTTAAAGGCATTTGTAAATCCTGATTTGCTTGGTCCAGACAAATGCAGTAAGGGAATTAATGGCAATGTTTCAAAAACAAAATACCAAAGAAATTAAAGCATAATGAGTTAGAGTGGCCTGCTTATAAATGATTACTGCAGCAGCAGTGTGGAGGTTTTGCATCAAGTAATTACCAATGGTTACCAGGCTCTTAAAGGTACACAAAACAAATTTCTAATGCAGTATATATTTCCTATAATTTTTTATATTTTCTTACTCAATTTTACCTTCAAGTATACTTAAAACACTGATATAATTTTTTTTGCATATCTTATATGCACGTGCTCAATTATTTGGTGTCTTGAGATAAAACAAATATACTCATAGAAAGCAAAATAGAGAAACTCTGTGGACTGGAATCCTTGGTAGAAAAATACAGGTCTAGTCCTAATTAGTCCATTTGAGCAAGGTGCCTACATACACTGTAATCCTTATTTAATGATGAGTAAGCAGTTCCACAGTACATGTAAAAACACACTAGTGCATGAGGCAGCATTGACAATCAACTTCAGTGCACTACTTTAATAAACCCAAGTTACATCGTATACGAGACTATTTGCCAATGTACTGTACAGTACTTTAAAGCCTACCTGACCCCAACTTAAGTGAGCTTAATACAGCCAACCCTAAGCTAATACATCCTAACCTAACAATGTATACGGTTTTGACAATTAAGACGAACTTGGCTGAACCCTTCTGTGTATGATTTGACTATCTGATTTGAACTAGCCAGACCAACACAGACTCACTATTATTAAACATTGTATGTGTATGTGCATACAGAGACAGCCACCAAAAATACAGCCATAGTCTAGGTGTTTAGTTAACAAGACTAAGAGCTGAAATTTGTGTATAGAATGCCGTGGTGGAAAGGGATGTTTTTAAGAGAATTCGAAATTTCCAAAATATAAAGTAAAAGAAATGAAACACTAAATGATTGTATGGTAAATTAGAGAACATTATTATAGGACAAAGAAGGTTGCTTTTACCACATTGTAATAGTACACAGCACAGGCATTGATGAGTAAGCATACACAATATACCAAAATAAAATGTTTGCCGCAAACTGTAAGGGGCAAGTCTGTAAAGCAATTTTCCAATTAACTTCGAGTCAAACCTTCCACAACATTTACTGCAAACATTTTCCATGCACAACAGTGGGTGAGCCCATCCTCAGATATGAAGCTAAAAATTTTTGACCTATTCACTTGGAAAAATAAAAATTTAGAATACAATACAGAGTGCATGTGCAGAGCCTCACCTCCACCTGAATTTTACTTCCAGATGCTTTCTGAGGCTCTGATTTCTGTTCTTTCATGGCATTCCTCAGAACTGGAGCAGTTCCTTTTGGCTTTAATACTGGACTCTGCCGTTTCAACACAAATGTAATCGAAGCTTCAGAGAAGTTTTTACTGCTGGTACCAAAGCTGGCAATGTGGTGGTACCAACGAGCTGCATGAGGATACTCAGCTTTCGGGATTTCACCAATAGCCCTCCAAGCAGCAACATCTGCTTGTGTGGGATGATAACCACAAACATAGCTCTGGTTGCCCAACAGAGCATTAAGTTCAGCCAAGTCCAATTCCAGTGACTCCATTATGTACACAAATTAGTTGATGGTTTCCTTGAGCAAGCTATTTCACAGTAATTGGTCCTAATGTGAAAAGGAAAAATTACAACAGGACCATTATTCTCTAGTATTTTCAACATTATCTATGAAGACTAAACAAATGATTGACAAATTTTGGAAGTACAGTATACAATACACCAGCTACATAATATGTTTAGTCAAATAATGATTCCCTTTTACATAAAATCTACTAGTTTTCAAAAGTTTAATCATACTAAATACTTGAATTGACTACTATTCTTAGTTAAAACTGTTCAGTACTGTTGAATATATTCTTTACAGCTTAAGTGAGAGATTTGCTCCTTTGTTTTATCTATTCAACTGTATAATCTTTATTAATGATAAAATATTGGCCAATAATATGTTAGTCTTTGTTACAGATTGTTACAAAAGGCAATCTTTGAATAAAATACTGTACCACAAAGTAATCAGTTCTGTACAGTTATTGTGCTCTTTGAGAATACAAAAAACTTGACCTCCCCAGATAAAATTCAAAGAATCTTTACTCAATAAAATATCATTCCATTATTTGCTATTTAAATATCAAATAAAGTAAAGCCAATGGTAAATAACCATTGGCATGGTACAAACAGTGCCTGTATCACTGCACAAAACCATACAAATTTCAAACTCTTCTAATATATATACTGTACTTTAATAACACACCGAAGCATGACTGGTATATAATATAGAATTTAGAATAAACAAGCGTTGGTTTCTGGAAATGTTTGGAGGCTGTGTCTGACCAGGTCAAGATACCAGACAACTTCATGTTCAGTGTCATCTATCGTAAGAATCAGTGAGTGTTTAGATCTGATCTTTATTTGCAATATACCATGGTATTTCTTTTTGTATTGCTGAATTTCCTACGTGATTTGGAACGCGCTAATTTTCCCATTGAGAAACCAATGAAATGTCAGCGTGTGCTGGTCTCCAGACACATTCATATTGCATCTAATACTATTACCATTCATAAGTACCTATTGGTCGAGTGATCTAAACTTCTGACATGCTCTATCTGCCTGAAAGAAATAAAAATTATTTTGATGCTAAAAATATTATTTTCCCCTTATGGTTTTCGTGACATACAAAATATTGGTATAAAAAAATTCCCCATTTTCTAAACGATTTAATTGAACCTCGTTAAATCATTCCATTATTTTGTTATACATGGATAAGTTGCTACACATAGCAAGTGTGAATTGCAATACTCGTGCATTAGATATAATAATGATAATGTGAAACCTATTGTTAAATGGCAGCTCATGAGTAAAATAACTATAATATTAACACTTTCGCGCTCTCGGCGGTCAAAAAAAAAAACAATACCCCAGATGCTTTCGGCACTTTGCGCGCCTATGCGGTAAGACCGAAAAAGTGTACACTCTTTTGACTGTCCTGACAATAATTGAAGGCGCACGTATTTAAATTTGGTATCACTGTGTTCGCAATGAAATTGTCTATAAGAGCATACCTATAAAATGTCACCCAAGCATAAGGAGTATCAACACCAAATAAAAAACTATGCAGATCACTCGCCGTGAGCGCCAAACAGCAACAAAATGTTTTCACTCTCTTAATGGTTGCGAAGCCTACAGTTGTCCTACATCGCTAATTTTGGTATCATTGGAATCGCAATAAAATTCTCTACACGGACATATGCATATGAATGTTTAATATAGGTAATTGCCCACCCGCAAGAGTGTGTGAAGTGGAGAGTAGTTAGCCGCGAGCGCACTGGCGAAAACACAGGGGGGAAATCATGCTTGGAAAGTTTATACGTTTCCTGACCCTACTTTTCTATGTACGTATTTCTTTTTTATACCAATGTGTTCGCAATAAAATTTTCTATAAGATGAACTGTATAACATTTGTACAAAGCATGTGTAAGAGAAGCGCCAAATATAGAACCACGTCGCTCAGTATGCGTTCACGGCTGAAACGAACGCATTGTTTTCGTTCATTTGATGTTTGTCATGTTTATACTTGTTGAAACATTTTATAATTTGTATGACAGTGATCGCAGTAAAATTCCCTACACAGACATATACATAACACATACAAATATTTCCCACGTGTTGGATATATAAACGGCTAAAGGGAACCCACTGCCACACGCTCGCCACACCCCCAAACATACTTTGTGTATTTTTTTTTTTACTCATAGAAGTTTATGTGATATAATATTCATTCTGGTACCAAAAAATTCGCAAATAAATTCTCTACAAAACAAAAGTATCCCCATCCATTTCGGTTAAAAAATGGAATTTATAGAAATATTTTTTCGATTGACGAGAAAAGTAGGCAGTTATGCGGATTCGTAAGAAAAACCAGTGACGAGTTATCTCTAATCGAAAGCGCGAAAGTGTTAATACAATATCCACATTTTTTATGATGGCACATACATGTAGCCAGCTTGCAACTACTGTACTACACAGGTCGTAAATAAAATATAATAAAAAAAAGGCCATTAAGTATTTTCTTAAGCTAGTGTTATTTGAAACATTTTTATTTTAAGTAAATTATTGTTTTTTGCACATTTGAGTATTGTATATACAATTAAATTTTTTTATACCCATGTCACAGATGAGCTATGAATTAGTCATACGAGCATTAGCTTCTTTTAGATAAAATAACGCTTATTCACATTACCGTACTTAGTACTATATATTTTTTTTTTTTTTTTTTTTGTATAAATTATATTTTTCCATCAAGTAATTTTATTGCCTAGGATATGAGGACTGTAGGCATCCATCGCGTAATTTTATTGCCTAGGATATGAGGACTGTAGGCATCACGGTTCCTGTAAATAAAACCTGCTGTGAACAAATTTGCTACTCGTGTACAGAGCGTACCATGTGCAACACAAGCCTATGTGATTTTACTACACCTAGTTTTCAATACACTTTAAGACCCTTTTTTAAGTTTCACAGAATAAAAATAATTTTTTTTTAAATACAGTCAACACTCTACCGAAGATAATTTGCCAACAAAATCCAAACCTAATCTAATCCAACCTATCCTAACATATGCTGACCCAACAATTATATACACGATATATATAAATCCAAGACACTTCAGATGTGAAATCTTAGTAATTTTGATTTACTTTCTTTGAATATCTTGAGGATTAATATGTACAAGTTTCAAGCATGTTTGTTTAGCTCAAACGCTTCACGTCATAGAGCAACATGCTAACATTTTATAAGCTATTCTCTCACCCACTGTTTACAGTAATTAAAACCCATACAGTACCACAGTCAAAATTGCTATTTTACACATAATAGGAAGGCTGTAATAAATTAAAAGGGGCTACCAACCCGCCTAACTCTTTTGGCAGCTGCACTCTGAGCATATGTTTGTGTAGATAGTTCTCTCTTTATCAAGGAACCTGCTCGGGCTAGTAGTCTCAAAATCCCCATCGCTAACAATAACTGCTGACAACCACCTTAGTTTCAGACATTACTGCTGGAGAAAACTTGTCCTGTGCAACGTGGGTCACAATTTCGTCACAGACACTAGACCGAGCTGACTAACAAGAGGCTCGAGGTGCGCACCGCCACACCACCGGCACCCAGTCCTCTACCCAGGTGTCGTACCCAGCCACCCACCTCTTGTTGTACTCACCACTGTCTGCCGAGTCACATGCTTGAATTTAATACCAAAAATTCAATTTCAAACTTTTATTCAAAAGAATGTGTGTACAAAGAACATAAGGCAATGTACAATTGCGGAGACAAGAGTTACACATATTAATGAAGCCACTATTATGCAAAGCGTTTCGGTCAAATGTAATTTAATTTACCTACAAGTAAAGCAAGGTAATTAGCAGGAGAAAGCACTAAACCATTACGACTATATAGCACGTTGAAGGGATATGAAGATAAGGATTTAGGCTAGAAAGAAGGAAAGGAGTGGTGCCCTAATTTCTTGGACGGTAGAGGATTGAACTCCAACTGCCAAAAAATGAGGTTTATGCGAGATTATGCCACATGCCACATCTTACCACACACATTAAATAATGTTGTAAACAATGAATTTAAAAAGTTCACGTATGGATGTCAACCAACAAACTTACACTAAACATAGCAAAGACCTACTACATCTTATTTGGAAGGAAAACAACAAATGCAATTCAGCTTCAGGCTGTATAGTTAATACATATACTTTCTATTTGTTATTGTATAGCCAGACTAATAAACTAATTCGCTAACTTTTTTACTTAAAATTTATGTGATAAATCTACATTCCATTCTAGACTTGAGTTTCGCTTCACGCAGAAAATAGGTAACTTATACAATACAACAATACAATACAATTTTATTTAGGTAAGGTACATACATACAATAAATATTTACAAGGATTGTTTGACTTATAGGTATAGCTAGTACATACAATGCCTAAAGCCACTATTACGCAAAGCGTTTCGGGCATAGTAAATTAAATAAATTGTCATAAATTGTCATCCAGTACTGACGTGTACCCAAGCTACTATCACCGATTGGTAGTTTTAATTATTATTTTTAATATGCGCATATATATAAATATGCAACAAAGATCACAAAAACACTGATCCAAGTGAATGAATCTTTCATTCTACTTTGCTCTGATGAAGGCGAATTAGCCCAAAACGCGTTAAGCATTCTCTATTTTTCCATGTGCTTATTCTGCACATATAAATATAAATAAACTTTATCTTAAGCACAACAAAACTACTCATAAAGGATTATGCATTATCAATGATTCATTCGTAACTGTGCTCTATATTGCATCAGCTGATAAATTTGGTGTGTATAATCGGAACTAATACAATATTGTATGACCTTATATTGAATTTAAAATTTATATTTTACAGTAAATATAATTATTGATCTTTAATAATGCTACCCCATATTGTGCAATCGATCAACAGAGTAGAAACGGTAGAGCAAACTTACAAGATGTACACCTCTGGCAACCAGCAGGTAAACATTCCTTCAAGCGTGAGAAACTTATCATTGGCGTACGATAGTATTGTATCTATTGCTTTACCTGAAGACCACCTTTAGTGATCTTTAGTGGCCTTGACGGGGACAGGAAGCCAGCAGCTTGTCAAAGGTACTCCCATTATTCTTGATGATTCTCGTTTAATTAATTAGTTTATTTTCTACAACAAAAGTGACAATTGCAGTTTGAGTTAACCATACAGTATATAAACAATTTGTATAGGGGCAAACAGAAAACACTAAAGGTGGAAAATTTATTTAAAACAAATATTTGTGGAATACAGGTGTTTGACACAATACCGACGAAAATTTAACTGACTAATTAACAAACACAATTCTTTTTATTAACAAGCTTAGGTACACACAGCAATATGCTGCTACCCTATTCTATATGAAAGATTACAGTCTAGCCTGCACTAGCAAAATCTGGGCACAACACAAGAATATCTTCATATATTTATATATATATATATATATATATATATATATATATATATATATATATATATATATATATATATATATATATATATATATATATATATATATATATATATGTATATATATATATATATATATATATATATATGTCGTACCTAGTTGCCAGAACTCACTTCTCAGCCTACTATTCAAGGCCCGATTTGCCTAATAAGCCAAGTTTTCCTGAATTAATATATTTACTATATTTTTTTTCTTATGAAATGATAAAGCAACCCTTTTCTCTATGTATGAGGTCAATTTTTTTTTATTGGAGTTAAAATTAACGTAGATATATGACCGAACCTAACCAACCCTACCTAACCTAACCTAACCTATATTTATCGGTAAGGTTAGGTTAGGTAGCCAAAAAAAGCTAGGTTAGGTTAGGTTAGGTAGGTTAGGTAGACGAAAAAACATTAATTCATGAAAACTTGGCTTATTAGGCAAATCGGGCCTTGAATAGTAGGCTGAGAAGTGCGTTCTGGCTATTAGGTACGACATATATATATATATATATATATATATATATATATATATATATATATATATATATATATATATATATATATATATATATATATATATATATATATATGTCGTACCTAATAGCCAGAACGCACTTCTCAGCCTACTATTCAAGGCCCGATTTGCCTAATAAACCAAGTTTTCATGAATTAATGTTTTTTCGTCTACCTAACCTAACCTAACCTAGCTTTTTTTGGCTACCTAACCTAACCTTACCTATAAATATAGGTTAGGTTAGGTTAGGTAGGGTTGGTTAGGTTCGGTCATATATCTACGTTAATTTTAACTCCAATAAAATAAAATTGACCTCATACATAGAGAAAAGGGTTGCTTTATCATTTCATAAGAAAAAAATTATAGTAAATATATTAATTCAGGAAAACTTGGCTTACTAGGCAAATCTGGCCTTGAATAGTAGGCTGAGAAGTGAGTTCTGGCTACTAGGTACGACATATATATATATATATATATATATATATATATGTCGTACCTAATAGCCAGAACGCACTTCTCAGCCTACAATTCAAGGCCCGATTTGCCTAATAAGCCAAGTTTTCATGAATTAATGTTTTTTCATCTACCTAACCTACCTAACCTAACCTAACCTAGCTTTTTTTGGCTACCTAACCTAACCTTACCTATAAATATAGGTTAGGTTAGGTTAGGTAGGGTTGGTTAGGTTCGGTCATATATCTACGTTAATTTTAACTCCACTAAAAAAAAATTGACCTCATACATAGAGAAAAGGGTTGCTTTATCATTTCATAAGAAAAAAATTATAGTAAATATATTAATTCAGGAAAACTTGGCTTATTAGGCAAATCGGGCCTTAAATAGTAGGCTGAGAAGTGAGTTCTGGCTACTAGGTACGACATATATATATATATATATGTCGTACCTAGTAGCCAGAACGCACTTCTCAGCCTACTATGCAAGGCCCGATTTGCCTAATAAGCCAAGTTTTCATGAACTAATGCTTTTTCGACTACCTAACCTAGCATTTTCAGCTACCTAACCTAACCTAACCTATGAAGATAGGTTAGGTTAGGTTAGGTAGGGTTGGTTAGGTTCGGTCATGTATCTACGTTAATTTTAACTCCAATAAAAAAAATTGACCTCATACATAATGAAATGGGTAGCTTTATCATTTCATAAGAAAAAAAGTAGAGAAAATATATTAATTCAGGAAAACTTGGCTTAATAGGCAATTTGGGACTTGCATAGTAGGCTGAGAAGTGCGTTCTGGCTACTAGGTACGACATATATATATATATACAAGGAGGCACATTGGGATTGTGAGGATACATAATACGGTAATTACAATCTTGTAAAGCCACTAGTACGCGCAGCGTTTAGGGCAGTAAGTAGAATATTCGTGTGTATGAAGTAGTTACAGAGCTCAAAGTATCTCATACCATTTAGTCTGAAATCAATGGTTACAGGCCAATCACAGATATAGTGTTGAGGAATATTAATTCACTGTGTCGGGGGACAGGAAGTCAGAGTGTATTCATACACGTTAGGCTTTTATTGAGGAGCGTTTCCTTTCACCTGATGCCTTTAAACAAATCCATAAGGACCATGATAAGGGTTCGAACCTTTGTGACCTGATGCTTTTATTTACCTAGCAGTAAATGGGTACCCGGGAGTTAGACAAATATTATGGGGTTGCATCCTGAGGACAGTCAGAGTTCGACGTGGGAAGGAAAGGCTTCAATACGAGCCCAAAGTATACATATACAGAGGCTGCCTATCCCAACATCGGGAATTATATTAATACTTTGTATTGTCCACTCTCACTCCCCGCTCTCTCATACTTACAATGTCCGCCACCTACTTCCCAGACTTCCTACCCTCAAATTCATTTGAATCTATATTATCTGTATTTTGAAACTTCAGAGGGAAAAATTTGAGAATATCCCACACTTAACTACAACGATTAATCATTTCAGTATATTTTATTTTAACGAATTTATAGATTATTGCCTTTTGCAATGAAATACCGCTATAATATGAAACGTCTGCAGTTTATTAGGCCAGATGTCAGTCAAAGGGGAAAAACGTCACCAATTAAGATAGTAGTCATCAGGTAAGTTGAGACCATTATATATTATGAAGTATTTATATATATTAACTATGGTAACAGTTCGGTGAACTAGACTTCTGCATTGGCTTGTGGTCATCACTGCCTTTTCTTTCGTCATACAGGTCCTGTAGGTCACTGTAGATGTACATCACCAGGTCATCTTCGTGTCCTTCTCACCATACAGGTCCAGCGTGTCACTGTAGTAGTACATCACCAGGTCACCCAACACAGACACAAACACAATCCCTAGTCAAATGAAATTCAGATCGAAATGTTACCCTATCATAAAAACAATATAGAATGTGGCTAAATATAATTTAGTAATATTTTAGGTACATGTTTTACAAACAAGAACAATTTGAAACACTCGTTAAGAAAAAAATATAAAACATGCTCTTGATGTGTTGGACAATATACATACACAGTGAATATAATATCAACACTAACCGCAGAAGAATATAATAACATCAGTGACAGCCAATGGGAAGCTGGCTGTGGATATGAAAGTCATTTAGAGTGGGAAGCGGATACGAAAGTCATTTTAAAATCTAATCAATCTTGCATTCAAGTTCAAGTTCAAGTATGTTTATTGAGACAAGAAAAAATACATCTCAAAGGGATAGAGTAGCTTAGGCTATTTCTACCCCCCTCTACTTCAAGTCCCTCAAGGGGCGCACAAATTCAGTGAGTACAGATACACAAATCACAATACAACATTTAACATTGCATATTAATATAGTAAGTGTTACAATCATTGGGGCAAAATTCTTGTAGTTCCTAAGTATTCTGTCTATCATATCATTATCACACATCCAAACAATTTGAAGTGGTACACTACTTATTTCCTTATTTCTATGGTTATCCATAAGTTGACACTTTAATACATAATGGTCTTCCAAGTTCAAGTAGGTTTATTGAGACAAGTTTAAAAAAAAAAAAAAAAAATGCATCTCAAAGGGGTAGAGTAGCTTAGGCTATTTCTACCCCTTCCCATACTTCAAGTCCCTCAAGGGGCGCACAAATTCAGTGAGTACAAATACAAGAATCCCTTGTAACATATCAGGTTAATATAGTACTATCTAAGAGTATAATAGTGTACATCCACCGCACTAGATTTTAACCCATTAACGCTCCAAGATAATATTCTCACTCTACTTTCATCCATGATTTAATAAAACTACCTTTGCCCTGTCTGTCACATTCCATGAGATACGAGATTTTCTCAGACAGACTCTCCCAACACTGTAACATTTTTGCTTTCTCCTCATTTGCACAACAGCTACTAACATCAAAGGTGATCTTATTCATATCTAATTTCTTTCTTATTTCTCTATACCGTTTTACTTTAACCTTTGTTTCAACATTTGTCACTACAGAAGGTTGAACGCTAATACTACTAGAAAGTTCATTTTCCTGACTATCCTCTATCATCAATACGTCATGTTCTTCCTTACTTTCTTCAACACACATTTCACGTCCTGTTTCACTTTCCACTTCACGTCCTATTTCACTTACTATTTCACGTCCTGTTTGACTTTCCATTTCACGTCCTGTTTGACTTTCCATTTCACGTCCTGTTTGACTTTCCATTTCACGTCCTGTTTGACTTTCCATTTCACGTCCTGTTTGACTTTCCATTTCACGTCCTGTTTGACTTTCCATTTCACGTCCTGTTTGACTTTCCATTTCACGTCCTGTTTCACTTTCCATTTCACGTCCTGTTTCACTTTCCATTTCACGTCCTGTTTCACCACCATCTTCACCCCGTCTACCCCCCATAGCTAATTTTTCTAATGCCTCAATCCTCTTTTCTAGTTTTTTTAGATATTCCAATATTTGAGTACCAACCTCAGAGTTCACTATATTGTCCTGAACCTTGTTTCCACAAGGTTTAATTTTTTTCAGCTGCATTTCCTACTTTCCCTAGGCTCGCCTTAATTGGCTCCGTTCCTTTCTCCCACACATTGTTCATAGGCGCTGTCATTGGCTTCCAGCTGTTTCCTCCATGTTCCTGCTGCACAATCTTTCCTTCCTTCGAGGATACATCTATCCTGCTTGTAGCACCCGTCCTCGAGTCTCTCAGATGAGGCTTCATGCGACATAGATAGGAACCAGCATTGTGGCTGCCTCGACAATTGCAACAAGATGGGACGATTTTTTCACCGTTTTTAATCTTGACTCTACACTCTCGAGAGTCGTGTTTCTTACCACAGTACCGACACCTGGAGTCAAACTGGCATTTCCAAGCCATATGTCCCCAACGAGAACACTTCATGCATAATATGGGCTCCTCAATGTATTTTACAACTTTCCTGTAGCCTAGTCCTTGCACAAAAATTCTGGAGCCTCACCCTTTACCAAGGCAACAACCTGGCTTTGTTTTTCACCACGAACACTGTTCCTCTTTGCCCAAACAACACTATCACTGTTGAGCAATAGATAATCTGGATCCAAATAAGTTGGATACTTAAACACTATGACCTTGGTGTACATCATACCTTTTTCCGGAGTAACCATCACAATATTCTCAAACCCATCCTTCGTTAGGTGTTCCACGGCCTCTTCTGTCCCAACTGTTATATAGGGCCGGTGAAGACCCTCCTTGAATAGTGGTTCATATTCAAAAAACTCCTTAGCCAAACGAACCGTCCACTCCAGCTTTTGATGGAAATTCAGTTGACATGCTGTAGGGAACAACAGCCTCTTCCTTCCATTAGTCTGCATCTCCCGCGTCCTGCTGAGAATGTCTTCATTTTTTGGTCTCTTTGTTATTTCCTCCTCACTGTCTTCGTCTCGCTGTCTTTGAATATTTCTCCGTTTATATCTGTTTACTACTGCTTGATACGGCCTAGTATCATCCTGTCCGCCATCCCCACTGTCACACTCTCCAGGCCCAGTACAGGATCTTCCATCACCTAGGCAGACCGCCTCAGCCATTTCCTCGATACACAAAGGCACTGTATCACTGCAACAGTCGAGAACAAATTCACAACATCTAGCTGCAGCAGCCACGTGCAAACAAGAAGATGCGGAGCAACACGTCCTCCTCGCATCATGCAGCAGACCGCACTGTGAATCTTGCATTACAGCCATATTTCGCTTGTAGTAGATATTTCAATTTCTTTCTTTATTATGCACCCCATACCCATCCCGTGGGCGGTGGTGTAAAGGATTACAGAGGCACATAATCGGTTCAGGAACTGAACCCTCTAGTTCGTTTAGCTAAGCAAGTACAAATATTTGACGCTAATTACAAAATTATCAATGTTGTATACACATGTACACACCCTCATACATACATGTACATATATATATACGTATACACATATACATACACATACATATCTAATCACCCACACAATTACACACATCAATAATCTTTGTCTTGTAGTAGATAGTAACCGTATAGGGGGGTACCCAGCTGCGTCCAGTTCTCTCCCCCTCTTTCCCTTCTCTCCTATCTTTCTCGCCTTTCTTCCATTATCCACCTTTTTCACCCTCTGCGTCTTTCTCCCCCTTCTCTCACCCTCTGATGTATCTTCCCTTCTGCACCTTTTCCCCCCTTCTCCCCAATACCTCCTATCTCTTACCTCTCCCCCTGCTATCCTTCCCTCTAGTAAAAAAAAATCCCCCCCTCTCTTCCTTCTCTCTATGAAAACTAATGCTGTATAACGAAACAATTAAACTTCTAAGCAAGTCTACGGACAACACTACCAGTATTCAATACTTGTCTTTATGAATATCACATGGGTGGGTAGGTTAGATGCCGATATTTCTTGTAGCACTGGAGGCTACCCCAACTGCCCTATGACATTCCCACATTCTTCATGTGTGAAAGTTGGGTGAGGCCAGTCCCAAGAGTCTGGCCTCCAACATTGAAGAGACAGGACATTATCTTATAGATATAGATAGCTGTGATGAAAGTGAAAGATATGTAGCCTAAGCTCATAAACAGCACCATTTCCGATACTTATTATTATCCAATACTGAAAATTAGGTTAGGTATCACCTAAAAATGACTTGGCTCCAATGTGTAACATTATGTGTAACAAATACAATCATTTATTATATAATAAATTATTATATTTGCAATACATAGCAGTTACGGTGCAAACTGTGTTCTGTTACTAGCTCTCATAATTAAATATAAGTGTGTAGATAAACGATGAAAACCAATGTCAAATAACAACCGTTTTGATTAAGACCTTTTGTGCTCTCTAATCCTTTTTGCGAGGATGAGTGGGGAGTGTACAATAAACTACCGCTTACAGGATGAATACGGGATGCGCAATAAACTTTCAATGAATGAAATGAAATCCAATGCGGCAATGAGAGAGCTTGTGAGAGAGCCAACCACTACATCATTGGGTGCCACTGGTACAGAAAGGTGGATATACACACGTTTAATATCACTAACCTGCAGGTACCAAATGGGTTATTACCCTCAATTTATTCAAATCATAGAGCCAGCAATTGCCTGATTTGCCACAGGAGATGTTCCATATAACACACGAGGAGTCTGCAGGCAAAAATATTTACTTAATTGATTCTAAGTAGCCAGATCAAGCTGTAAGAAAACCTTGCTGTATAAAAATTATTATCATGATTGAGTGAATTAATATGCCAGGATGAATCCATGATATGCATAAGACAAGGCAAACGATCTGAGTAACAAAAATAAATTAATACACACCTATAATGGCGCCCATGATGACAGGTGCAGGAATAAAGCCAAACAGAGCTAAAGATACCTCCAATATACCGATTCCTAAGCCTTTGTCCTCGTCTGCCACAGCTCTGTACGGAAAAGTATATTTTATGTAATTTTACAGCCTAATGCAAAAGGTACAGTGTTATCACTATGTCTGCAATTTGACAAAAAATGATCATCAAAACATGCCTCAGGTGGGCGAGAACGCTACCAATTTTCCCCAGTGAAAAAGCGCCATCCATAAAGATCTGGATCATGATGTAATAGATGAACGTGTTGCAAGAGTCTGGGCAGTAGCCTTGCATTGCAGACCCCCATCTTGTCTCAATCTGCAACGTAATTGGGTCATTGGTGAGATTTTTGCTTCATTTATCTAATAGTAACATCGACTCATTCTCAGGCTAAGCTCGCCCAAGCTATCCCCAAAGGCTCATTTGTAAATTTTGTCCTACTGTATAATCAAACTTTTTCTCAAATAAGCGACATTATTATATATTAAAGTTTTGATTACTACTAAGCCTAGGGTAGATTAGATCAAGTGTTTTGGTTCTAATGACAATTATTTTTATTTATCGATAATAACAAATTAGTTTAAGTGCCGACGTCAGGCCTACCTGAGGTAAGATGGGTGTTTCTTGGAGCGGGCCGTTGTCGTCTGTGGCCATGTTGCTTTCGATGCACCGGCAGTCACTGTATACCTGTTCACAAGAACAAGACACGTTGTATACCTGTCTACAAGAACAGGGCACTATACACTTACCTACAAGATAATTTTTTTATTAAATAATACACAATATAAAGATCATATTTACATCAATTTTCAAGGGAAAATACTACATTTATATATATTTTATATAATTATTAGTAAACCAATTTTTCATATCATCACCAAGCATGAGCCGTAATCCCCAAATGTTATACGTGATCCTGCCTCGCAAGAACTTCAATATTCTGTCTACTGAGTAACCCTCCTGCCTGCCTATCCACACACAAAAAATGTAATCAGAGAGTAGCATAATTATTGTACTCTTAAAGATCTCACTGAGAATGAGTTGGTGAGTTTCCGGGTCAATTTTTCTCCTAGATTTCCCTATTGTAGGAGCTGTGGGTGCCATTACAGGATCAATTTCCCCAATTTAGGTTGTTCCTCTCTGTTTCAATCAAGTTGTTTATTTATGTTTATTGTGGAATCTGACGTTATCTTTCAATGTCCAGTGGTGGTTTTGTAATTAGTGCCTGCTATACTGAACGTGATTCATTATTGCAGATAGTTTTGATTCACCTCGTCAGTAAATAAATAATTCAAGGATTTCAAAACAATTCTCTTTCACATGTTCAAAAAATATCAAATTATTTCATCCAAAATCTTTGACAAAGATCCAACTTTGCCCACTGTAGTGTTTCGTTACCACATATAGACTATTGGATGGGTTTGGAATGCATAACCAAAAACGTCAATCTCTAGCAGGAGGGAATAACAATATCAAACAGTGTGTATTTGAAGTTACTAGTGATTCATGATTAGATAATATATTTATTTGCATTTGACAGGAATGTATTCACCAGTCAACCCTTCGCACGGGAACTGTGTAAACATTTTAATAATTTACCTAAAATTAAACAAACGGAACTCCCTAACTTTGTGTTAGGGCAAACAATCATATATCCGTCAAATTCCATGGTAATTATGTGTTGAGTGAACAATTACCGCGTACATTGTCGCTGACGGAGGTGTTGACGCTGGAGCAGCCGGCGTAGCACGGGGAATAGTAGACGGTGGAGAGGTCTTCTGCACACACCGGCGAGAACCTCTCTGAGCACCCACACTCACTCCAGCACGGTTCACCATCCGACCTGTCACATACACCCAGAGAGTTTTACTGTGGACTCCGTAATCATCCTGTGGGAGGTTCATTAGTGTTTACCCTATTAAACTTTAAAATTTTACTAATTTACTGTGTATGTTCTATAGTTGCTTTACTAAAATATTTCTTTTTGTTTCCCCTGCTGTATTAATGTTAAAAACCCATTCTGTATTGTTGGTAGAACTACAGATTCCATAATGTAATAGTCTGTGCCTGGTATTGTTAAATGTCACCTTTAAATATTGTATATAATTTTTTATAGTGAACATTCTCACATATGTTAGTTGACTTCATTAAGTGTTTACCCAATTCTACTTTTAAATAATTTTTTATCTATTTTGTTCTAAATTTTGCCTGAAACGCTTTGCATAGTGGTGACTTCATTTGTATGTGGGCGCTAGCGGAAAGATTACATATTACTCTTAAATTCATGTCAGTAAAGCTCCAGAATAAACTTATCTGCCTGTAAACTCGTACTTGGTGTTCTTCATCACCACGGTAACTTTAATTGTAGAGCTGCAAATATGTTGATTAACTGTTCTGCAGTTATAATAATATCCATATAACACAGCAATAAGCTTATTGTGCTATATTATGGCAATTACCTTTATCTAATGACTCTTAAATGTTAATTACCTAGGTTTTCGGTTAAGACGGTGAACCATTCGGTACTGAGCGCAATTCGAATTTTTAGACAACAAATAGAGAAACTAAAATGACATACAAATCATATGGTGCAATAATTAGTTTTGCTTAACTTATTATGCATAATGGGCTCAGAAACTTTAAAATTTATTTATATAGACATGTAAAGTTTGTACTGGTTGGAGAAGACGATCTGCAAAATTTGCCACTTACTCATTAAGAAAGCGCATGTTGGTTGGGGTGATAATAGTGACCTCGGGGCAGCCGATGAACATGAGGCAGAGGTAACAGACGCAGGTGAGGAGCGTGGAGAACACGTTGTAGCCTATCACAAGCTTGGCTCGGGGACGAACCCAGCGCAGCACCACTGCACTCACTACCGTCCCTAGCGTAGTGGCCACCATGGTCGCCATCCCTGCCAACATGCACCATCATAGGTACTCATACGATAATGTACACCGTACGTGAAGCAGAAGGCACATATACGTAATTGAATGCAAAATTGAACACCCCAAAATTTTCCTGAATTTACCTGAGTGATTATCTCTCTACTTAGTTCGAGAAATACAAGAAGTCTACGGCTTGTCAAAGGTCCCCCCATTTATCCTAATGATTTTATCCAACTGTAATTTTAATTGCAGCAGTATTTTGGCATTTATACAGCAAAGGCGGATAGGCGGTTCCATGGGTTTATAACCCTATGGGTGAAAAAGCATCTCTTGTTTTCTATCCTACATTGTGGCTTGTTGAGCTTAAAACCGTTGCTCCTTGTTTGTATTACATATTTTAAATATAGGATATTAATATTTTTGTTTTGAACATGTTCCCAGCAGGGGCGAGACACAGGCGCGTAGTACAGGGAACGGTATGAGATACCTACTAAACGTCTCCTCCTGGGGTAGCTTACTGTCTATTTTTTTTTTAATGGACCCGTTGATTAGCTTCCACTGGTTCTTTCACAGGCGTTTATGTACTGCTTCTTTCTAGAAGTTGAAATCTAAAATCTGAGAGATACCTTCCAGTGTTTAGGAAAGTGTGTTTTAAGAGTAATTACTGCCCACCATACATATCACGGTATGTAAGCCACACTACTCAAGCTACAGTATAGGAGCCACATTCCTCAATCCAAACTCCATAAGCCACAGTATGGGAGTCACAGCATGTAACACCAACCCATGCATTATAGGTAAGTCACAGCCTAAATAGATCCTAGAATTCCCAGTATATAACAGTACGCTAGACACAGCATGCATCGCAGTATGCTTACCACAGCATAACTATCAATCTAAATAACCACGGCTCACCTGTGTAGTAGCTGGCGTCCGCGGCTGTCTTCTTAAACTGGTGTTCCAGGTACTTCGGCTGGAAGATTTTGTACCCTGAGGTGGCCAGGACGGTCAGGGTCACGTTGAAGAGGTTACCTGTATATATCCGGTTCCTCAACAGTCTTCTCAGACGTCTCGGCAGGTCTGCAAGGCAGAGAGAGAGGTTACTAGCTGTGTATGGGGTGAGGGAAGGTTACTAGCTCTGTAGGGAGTTACTAGCCACGTGAGGGGAGATTATTAGCTATGTGTGGTGGTGAGCGTGTTATTATTTGCGGGGAAATTATTCACCAAAGCTTCCCTTATCCCTCAACCGGCTCTAAGTCAGTTTGCCTCCTGTAACATTGTCGTACTCATCAAGGTGATATAATCTTCCCTCGCCATCCCTCTACCTTCACCACCCCTAACAGTCACCAGCTCACACCCCAACCCTGTCTCTCTCTCTTTCTCTCTCTTTAGCACCCTGCCTTTCATCAATAAATTTTTTTTTATTCAATAATCCATCGAGCTATGGATTTCGTCTATCTTTTATTTGTTACCTTTTCATTGTTTTATAATTTCTCCTAACCCACCATCCATTACCCATCACCTTCACACATTACACATCATCCTCACCTATTAACTCAAAATACCACGCTTACTTTTCAACGATGTCTCGTTCGTTTTCGCAGTAGATGCAACGAACACAGCCTCGTCCTCCTGTAGTGGCCTAGTCTGCATCATCTCATCCTCCTGTAGTCGCCTAGCCTGCATCATCCCGTCCTCGTGCAGGGGCCTAGCCTGCATCATCCCGTCCTCCTGTAGTGCACCGTCCTCGTGAATCGTCCCATCCTGCAGTATAGTCGTGCTTACCTGCAACATCCTACCCTTCAGCACCGCTCCAGCCTCCCTCGTCCCCCTATCCTGGTCCAGCCTCCTGTTGAGGGTCCTCTTAGCCTCCCTCCTGAGGGTGGCGGGCAGCTTGCGAGGGAAGAGGACCATCGTGCACCCCAGCGGCATCAGGGACCCGCCGATGATCAGGAACCCTGAGGAGGCCCCACAGACGACACATCATTACGCTTTTGTTTTTGTGTTATCTAGGTGTATCATCATAATAGCTATGTTAATCATCCTATTATATTATGTACAAATGATTTGTAATTTCTCTATTATCAGTAATAAAATATTAAAGACATTAATTTTGTATATCATAATAATTACTAATTATGTCACATTTTCGATTAATATTGCGTTTGTTTACCTATCCACCAGGCGCCTAGCCACCTGGGATCGTCATGAGAAAGGCTGGGCTGGATGGTGGGATTGATCCAGAAGCTCAAGCACTTGCCTCCCAGCATAAAGCCCAGCACTGGTCCTAGCGTCCTCAGCAAGAGGTAGATAGCTGTGTGTACCGTTGTTGAGACAGGGTGAATACAGGTACTGATGTTGGTTACTGGTAATGCTATCACTAATGCCATACACCACAACTACCACTACTCTTACTGCTACTACCACAATCACCACTATTCTTACAAAGTAAAAAAAAAGGTGAAAAGTACATCGTAGCAAGGTTTTATATCAACAATATAAATTGACAGAGGTGATTACACTGATAAAGATGAAGTACTTAATTAGTCCTACGTACTAATATTGGGGAAGTGGGTAGTACAAGATACAGTGTGAGTTTGAAGCACAAGATAGGAAACTATGAGGATATAATTAGGTACTTTTTGGTTTTACTTTTGAACAAGGTATAGGTTAGAACATTTTTTAATTCATCAGGGAGTGAGTTCCAAAGACTGGGCCCTTTTATTTGCACGGAGTGTGCACAGATTTAGCCTGACTCCGGGGATATCAAAAATATATTTATTTCTGGTGTGGTGGTCATGAGTTCTATTACACCTATCAAGGAAAAGTTGCAGATCAAGATTAACATTTAGGAACATGGTTGTGTACATGTAGATAGCAAATGAGAATGTGTGGAGTGTATGTTAAGCATGTTAAGGGATTTAAACAGAGGGGCTGTGTGTTGTCTGAGAACAGAGTTTATTATAGTTCTAATAGCAGATTTTTGCTGTGATGATAGGCTTGAGGTAATTTGAAGTGGTTGAACCCCGTGCACAGATACCGTATATAGGATAAGGATAGATTAGTACGTAGTATAATGAAAGGAGAGCAGAGTGGGGAACATAATATCTGATTTTAGAAAATATACCGACCGTTTTTGAGACTTTGTTTGGAATGAGTTGTCAACAACGAAAAGTATTTGAGAGAACAGCCTAGTATCACAATAACAATAATAATAAAAATACTACACAAGGGATATATGTATTCAGAGGTATACCTCTCGGTGTATATACACTTTAGCTCTGGACTGTTTAGGACTAAAGTATATTTGCTGGTTCTTTCGGGGGTCTTTGAGTTTGATGACCCTCCAGAGGGTGATGGGCCTTAAGCACACCACCAATCAATACTCACAGTAGTAGAAGGCGGTGGTCTTCTTGTTGATGTTGTCGTCGACGTAGCTGATGCCGACGGTGAAGTAGATGGTCATGGAGATGCCGACGATGAACTGGGAGACGAAGAGCAGGATGATGGGGCCTATGTAAGGCTTCCCCTCCCCTTGTTCGCTTATCTCCTCACACACCTCCTCCCACTGTGACAAGCACAGCTCCTCGTCTGCAACACAATCACAGCCATGTTCATACACATTTAATTTTAGTTATTTGTATACAGCCCTGTAGCACAGTGCAGGAGGGGATATTAATAGGGTATTAAAAGTATCAACACAAGACAGAACAGAAACAATGGGTATTGAATAGAAGTGTTTGTAGAAAGCCTATTGGTCCATATTTCTTGATGCTTCTATATTGGAGCGGAGTCTTGAGGTGGGTAGAATATAGTTGTGCAATAATTGGCTGTTGATTGCTGGTGTTGACTTCTTGATGTGTAGTGCCTCGCAAACGTCAAGCCGCCTGCTATCGCTGTATCTATCGATGATTTCTGTCATCGACAGAAATCATCGATAGATACAGCGATAGCAGGCGGCTAGACGTTTGCGAGGCACTACACATCAAGAAGTCAACACCAGCAATCAACAGCCAATTATTGCACAACTATATTCTACCCACCTCAAGACTCCGCTCCAATATAGAAGCATCAAGAAATATGGACCAATAGGCTTTCTACAAACACTTCTATTCAATACCCATTGTTTCTGTTCTGTCTTGTGTTGATACTTTTAATACCCTATTAATATCCCCTCCTGTTCTGTCTTGTGCTAATGCCACATCACCCTTCCCACCTCACTCAAATGTAGATATAATATCAGAGAGACGTAAGTTCTAATCAGTTGTGTATTTGTGAAGTCTTTGAAAATGTAATAAGTTTTACGAAACGCGCCCGTGTCGCGTCAGACTAGAAATAAAAATGAATTTTGGAGAAGTGATTTTTGATTTACCTCCAACAGTGAAGCGTAATGTACGAAAGATTGAGAAAATTCGTGTTAGAATTATTAATCTTACTTTTTCGGTCATATTTAATATATATATATATATATATATATATATATATATATATATATATATATATATATATATATATATATATATATATATATATATATATATATATATATATATATATATATATATATATATATATATATATATATATATATATAGTGGAGACCTTGTGGTTTCTCACTGAACACTAATATTATCTTCTCCCAGCTGTGAGACCCAGCGGTCTCCTCTGAATACTTTTTATTTTCTTCTCCGAGGCTATGGGTCCCCACATTGGCACTGGTACCCTCACGATTTATATATATATATATATATATATATATATATATATATATATATATATATATATATATATATATATAATATGTCTTAATTTACACTTGAAATTTAATGCTTTGATATAAGAATGTAATTTAAACTTTGTTTATCTTTATTCATACCATACAACAAGTTACAGCCCCGCTCCTATGCCAGATAAGTCCACTACGGGCTCACCATAACCCGTGCTACTTGGATTTTTTTATTCTGAGTAGCTGAATTAGCAACAATAACTTTCTTCACACACACACACCAAACACAGATACAGCGCGTCACTTACTTGTCCCAGGTTGCGCAGTATCGTTAAGGCTAGCTGTGGTGAGGTAGTGGTGGGTGTCGGTACCATATATAAAGTGTGGGAGGGTGGCCATGAAGCTGGAGATGGCTGTGAGAGCGATTCCTACACCCAGCCAGCGGGGACGATGACCTGCGTTGCCGTAGTAACCCAGGAAGATGGCCAACATCACCACCGAGATGTCGTTCCCAGCCAGCATGATCCCTGGAACAGTCATGAACAATCACTCACATGGGGGGACACTCACTCAAATGAGGGGGACAATCACTCACATGGGGGCGGGGGGACAATCAGACCTTCGTAAGACTGGAGAAGACGACCATAGAACCCTATAGAGGTGACGTACCAGTCTGTTTGCTGGTGAGTTGGAACCTCTTCTCTATGGTGGAGATGACTGCAACGGTGTAGCTGAAGAACATGCCCTGCACGATGGCGCTCAGAGAGAACACCGCGATCAAGCACTCCTTCAGCGCCAGCCTCTGCATACACACATAGTAAAGAGAGTGAGTGAATAAAAATAAACATTTTGATAAAAAGATACATTAGGCTTTAAATGATATTTGTGTCCACGGGAGACTGACCCACACGATGACTAGGAAGGTGCCCTAATGAACATTGGTCTGCGTCCTCGACTCGCGACCGAAGAATCCAGGTTCAATCCTGGTTAGGCTATGTGGCCAAACATAACCCGAATGCACTCGGGCATGGGGGGTTGAATGAGTTCATAAACACTCTCCCATGCTTTCGTAATGTGGTAGTGGTACAGCACTCAGCGTCGCATGTGGAGGATATAGTCCCAGCAAGGGCATTTGGAATTTTCAAGTATATACAATAGTGTACATACAATATTGTATACAATACAATGCAGCCTGTGTACAATTCAGGCTTATCATTATATACTCCTGAATGTATAGTGATCTCACCTGCAGCCATCTTGCCCTACAGGGACCTAGACCACACTCAGTGTCCTTGAGGTCCTGCTCGGTGAACTTCCATTGTATCTCTGCCAACTCTTGTCTCCTGGAGCCTAGCAGTTGGTCACACTGTCCTGGTGTTCCCTCCTCGATGGCGCCAACCGGCTCCTCGTCCTCCCCAGCCATCACTTTTGTTTTGGTCTGAAAATACGTAGCATTTTAAGAATAGTTGGCAAGATAGCTGAGGGCGGATGATTGGAACTATATATTGCTTTACCTTATAGTAACCGTTGTGAATGACTACATTTTATAGGGTGATATCGTCTGATCTTTAGTTAAAACAACATTTAGGAGTTGGCTGCACTATTTCTCTGACCCATTTCTCTCAGCATTGAATCAAATCTTGTTCAGCAATGTTCACAGTAGGCTTACCTGATAGAAATGGAATGCTATTTAGCTGAGATAAGAGCGGTTGCTAACTGAGACAGTCAAATTTGACGGAGATAACCATTTTTTTGAGGATTCAAGGTAAATATGTTGTGGTATGGGTTCGGAGTAACGAAGGTAAAGTGTAGCCGGATATGATTCATTAGACATGCAGGTGGTACCCAACTCACCTACCCCCAGGCAGCTCCACGCTTACACATATCGCGCTCAAGGCAAGTAATTCACTCTCTTACCAATTCTACCAGGCTATTCCACCACTTTAAGGAGCCAGTTTATCCTATTGCCCCACATCCTGCCATGACGACCAACTACAGCTTACAACATATGCTATGTTGCAACATAGCCTCAGCTATATCGCGGGGGCCTCAGCTATCAGGCCCCCGCGATATGTGGGGGCCCGATTGCTGAGTGGACAGCGCTCTGGACTCCTAATCCTAGGGTCCGGGTTTGATCCCGGTGATGGCAGAAACAAAATGGGCAGAGTTTTTTTCACCCTGATGCCCCTGTTACCTAGCAGTAAATAGGTACCTGGGAGTTAGGCAGCTGTTACGGGCTGCTTCCTGGGCGTGTGTGTGGGAAAAAAATTAGTTGTTAGTAACAGTTGAGAGGCGGGCCCACAACTAGGTGAAAACAGTAGAAGTACTTACAACAGAATCGAACTGTCATTGAATTACGGGCTCACTATAGCCCGTGCTACATGGACATTTCGTTTTGAGTAGCTAAATCTAAAACAGCAACTGTCATTGACCTGACTATTTATTGACTCACTCCAGCCTATATCATCCATATATCCTGCCAGCTAGACAGGTTATATGTCTCAGGTTATTTTACAATTGCCTCCTGCGAAGGTATACGGCCACGGCGGTCAATGACCCCAAACAAATGCTTTATATCTTATCAATGAGATTCTCCAATCTAATTTACAAATTACTGCTACAAGTAGCAAGCATGCTTCTTGCTTCACCCTTGTCTGAATTTACTTGAGAGCCACTAACAGTAATGGCCTCGACGAGGACAGGAAGCCAGCGGCTTGTTGAAGGTCCTCCCCATTTGCCTTAAATGTCATTGTAGTTAGTCTCAGCATTATCTACTGAGGCTACAATAGCAAGCTTCTTCTTACTCTTATTAAACAGGATTAAGTAACTAATCTTAGTTAAGGTGATGAAGATGAACTTGTGTAATTCTTGTTGGTACTGTAACACGTTCTGTCTCAACATTCTTACTAGTACTGTCAACACGCTCTTTCTCAACATTCTTGAGACAGTGCAATATATTAATTAATACTAAAGTTTAGGTAGCTTTCATATTGCTATATTTCAGTTTTAGTTTCATGTTTTCCTAATGATTAGAGACTATTTGATATACATGAAAAAGTATTACATGTTTTGAAAGATTTGTTTCGCAAAATATTGACTAATACCGAGACGTAAGGATTTGTGGGTCCTACGATAGCCTGATCAAACATTCTATCTTCTCACACTTTGTTGATACACAATCCTCTTGATTGTGATCAATTCACAATAAATACATTTTGTTTACTTAAAAGAATACTTGGGTCCAGTTCCTGAAGTCAATGTATGCTTCTGTAACCCTTCTCACAGGATGGGTATGGAGTGTTTCTGTAACCCTTTCACTACCACTCACAGGATGGGTATTGGGTGGCTCTGTATCCCTTACACTTCCACCTAAAACATGGGTAAGAGGAGCAAAAAAATATTTCACTTATCATCGTTACGCCAAAACATACCTACGCAATTGCCTTGATCAAATTCAGACCTCGTTGTGAGGGTTTTTCTCGTCGTCACGTCAACAGTGTAGAGTGCAGTCTGACACAAACATCGTCACTGGGAGATAACAAACATCATCACTGGGAGATAACACAAACATCGTCACTGGGAGATGACACAAACATTCTCACTGGGAGATGCTGTTGCAATCGTGAGGTTGGAACGTGATATATTGCAACAACCTGTCACAAGTATGCAGAGCTCTGGCAGTTGGAGAGCCTCCGCAACAGGTGACTGGTTGCATGCAACACACACGCACAACTGCAGTGAGCCACCACAACCATTCATCCTCCTGTTAACCTCTCATGACACTGCAAGTCCTACATCTCCCAGCTATTTCATGTATTTACTTTAACAACTTCAAAATGAAAAAGTGTAATTAATTGTAATTAATTTTTGTCAATAAAGATGTTAATAATAATAAATGTACTACTTCGTACACTCACGAATCTTAGAAGATATTCTTGTGCTCTTCCCAGAGTTTGCTAGTGCAGGCTAGACTTACATCTGATCATATTTCTGATTCCATGTATTTTTACCTGAATTTACCTGAGGGTTTACTAATACCAGTGGCCTCGACGAGGCCAGGAAGCCGGTGGCTTGTCAAAGGTCCCTCCAAATGTGGCAAACCATCCTCTGAGATGAGGATATTATACATGAACTCATAGTAAGCTCTTAATCTGCAGTTTGTAATCCCTCATATAGAACAGAGTAGCATCACATTATAATTTCTGTGTGTACCTAAATCTGTTAATTAAAAAAAATATTATTTAGCTCTAAAAATTCCCCACATCCTATTGAGTATCTAATGAATCGAAGGAATTCATCTACCATCTGTTAGCAACAAAAGTTAACAGTCAAGAGCGATTGTTTAGTGCACTTTTTTTTATTTTTTTTATTAACAAGCTTAGGTATACATAGCAATGTGCCTATTCTTTATGAAAGATTACACAATATAGATTAAAAACTAACTATAAGCTCATTTAGTATTCCCATCTCACAGGATGGTTAGTCATACATGGAATCAGGGGAGTAAATACCAACCTCAATACAAATAACAAATAAACTCTGACTAAACAACTTCACGATTTTCACAAGAGTTAAACACTGAATCACGGAAACATTACATTACAATTACTCGTACCATTTTCTACAAGATGCCTCTCAAACTAAATTTTTCCTTTTTTTATAACAAGCTAAGTTATATACAGCAATGTGCTACTTCCCTATTCTGTATGAAAGACCACACAGTGTAGATAAAAAGCCGGCTGCAAGCTCACCCAACATCCCCACTTCACAGGACGGCCAGTCATACGTGGAATCAGGAGAGAACATGAAATGTAAGGCTGATCTATTAGCCTCCACTAGCAAAATCTGGATACAGCACAAGAATATCTTCCAATATTCCTGAGTGTATGAAGTAATTACAGAGCTCAAAGTACCTCATACCAGTTGGTCTGAAGTCGCTGATAACAGGGCAATCACTGATATAGTGTTGAAGAGCAGGGTTGCCAGATCCAAATTGCTGAAAGTAGCGAGCTGACGGCCTAAAAGTAGCGAATAGCTGATACTAGAGATCTGTGGAGGTGCGACTGCACCCTGCGTGACGGGAGATGTCTCCCTCGGTAATTGCGATTGATTGATTGATGAAGATTAAGCCACCCAAAAGGTGGCACGGGATGAATAGCCCGTAAGTGGTGGCCCTTTTGAGCTTTACCAGTATCAATAGATGATACTGGAGATCTGTGGAGGTGCGACTGCACTCTGCGTGACGGGAGATGTCTCCCGTGGAAATGAAATTACAGGACTCGTTGATTTATAGCCGTACGGGGTCAGGTGATAAAGGTAAAAACAAGGGGGATACATAGGGGATAAATGGGGGACGAAGCACATAAGAACATAAGAATAAAGGTAACTGCAGAAGGCCCATTGGCCCATACGAGGCAGCTCCTATTATACAAAGATTAATCAGGTGTAATTGGCCTGTTATGTTGAACAGTGTCTTCTGTGTTGGCATCGTTAGGTTCTGGTCTTGTACTTACTAGTTTCGTGCCTTAACATCTTAATATTTTGATAATCACGACATATCTGCATTAAAATCAGTGTGCAATTCCGGTTTTGGCCTCCACCGTCTTCTCACTTGTTCCCTTGTAACTTGTAACTCACTTGTAACACTTATATGCTGTACTTCCTATTTTAACCTGCTATGTTAAATGGGATTCTTGTATTGTGATTTGTGTATTTGTACTCACTGAATTTGTGCTCCCCTTGAGGGACTTGAAGTAGAAGGGAGGGAGGGGGGCGGGGGGGGTTGTAGAAATAGCCTAAGCTACTCTATCCCTTTGAGATGTATTTTTTATTGTCTCAATAAACATACTTGAACTTGAAGTGGACTTTAATGTTTCTTCGGCTGCTTTATTTCCTTAGTTTCCGAGCTGTTTTCTTTACCGTGGATGTTGTAATAAACTATTCCTATATTTACAGTTGTTTCTGCCTGTGAAGATTATTAAACAATGGTGATTATAAGGGCGCGGAAGTTCAGCCTGGCCAGGGGCCGCCAGCAGCCCTTGGGCCAGCCCCGGCAGCTCCTAGTCTTTAATTTGGCACCTTTGTGGGACCTTTGTGGGACCTTGGTATAAGCCTAACATGTATATATACACTGGCTGCCTGTCCCCCTACACAATGATTTATTATTACCTATTATTTTATCATTTAATTTAAATATTAAATAAAATAATTCATTTAATTATTATAGGAAGTACTTAACAATTTAATAATAAGTAGTAAGTACATAAAAATGATTAAAAAAGTACAGTTTAGTCATAGGAGATTCCTAGATTGGAATTCACTACCAAATTTCAATATATCCAAGTAGTTTTAGTGTGAAATGCTGTTATTATATGCATAAATTGTTGTTTTAATAATATTACGCTTAACCACTTGGGCTGGACGGTAGAGCGACAGTCTCGTTTCCTACAGGTCCGCGTTCAATCCCCGAGCGCCCAAGAGGTTGGGCACCATTCTTTCCCCCGTTCCATCCCAAATCCGTATCCTGATCCCTTCCGAGTGCTATATAGTCGTAATGGCTTGGCGCTTTCACTTGATAGCTACCTCACACCCCCCCCCCTGAATAATATTACGAGAGCAGTATTTACTGGCTATTCATGCCCGTGCCACCTCTTGGGTGGCTTAATCTTCATCAATCGAGAGCAGTACATCCTAACTAGACGTTATATGATGATATCCTGAACAGTTGATAAATAAAAGTAATTGCGGAACTCCAGTTATCTAATACTTATCATAAATGGTATCAAACCTTATCATAAGCCAAGGGATTTGTAGATCAGTGTTTAAAGGGAATTCGGAAGTAATAATAACACAGCTGATGCCATCTGTCGGCAGATAAGAACACTATCAACTGGCTGGTCAATAGTGGCCATAAGATACAGCTTACGCCATCTGTTGACATCAAATTACACTTATAACAAATTACCCTGCAAAATACAACTAACGCCATCTGTTTTTTTTCCAACGCACTATAAATAGCCAAACAGCAACCCATAAGGTGGGTTGTTGTGCTCGGGTAGGAGGTTCCAAGCTCCGCCCACAAGATGGATATGGGGTGCATAATAAATGGCATATCATGATATTCTTTGTTGACATTCACCACAGCCAATCACAGGAAGGGATCAGCTAAAGGCTCCATCCACTTAATAAATCATCTTTATTCAGCACACCATCCTTGCTTATGACATTCTGTTTCAACTTTAATCTACCTAAAAAGTGAAATGTTAAGTATTTAAAAGTGCTAATAAAGTGATAATTAAATACTGCAGGATGTAACGGGTGTTATATAAAAATGGGCTAGCTACCTAACTTGTGACGTTATTATTGGGGGTTGCCGTGACACAAATAATGATACACTGCTCTGCCCTGTTATTGGAGTAAATTATTCAGTTAGATGGAGATTTCTGTCAGGTGCAAAACAGAAATTGTTGTTCTTTTTTATAACAACCTAGTTGTTGTGCACAAGGACCTATTTCTTAATTTAAATTTTATTCATAAAAGAGTGTTGGTATTCCCCGCAACAACCAATCACAGGAAGGTATTTCTGGAAGCTCGGCCTTCTTATGGACTCTGCACATCGCTCTAGCTCATGGCTCTCTGTTTCATCTCTTGTATATACAAACTATGACTTTTTTCGATTACTGTTATAATTAATATTATGAGATAGTTCATTTATTATGCACCCCATACCCATCTTGTGGGCGGTAGTGGAAAGGGTTACTATGAGATATAAAAGATTTACTGGGAGGATTTACTGGGCGCAATTCCTTAACTGTAGCCTCTGTTTAACGCAACAGTAAAATGTGTACTTGGATGAAAAAACGATTCTTCGCGGCAGGGGATCGTATTCCAGGGACCATAGGATTAAGGACTTGCCCGAAACGCTACGCGTACTAGTGGCTGTACAAGAATGTAACAACTCTTGTATATATCTCAAAAAAAAAAAAAAAAAAAAAAAGTTTTTACACAAAATGGCTAAATTCTGCCATTAAATGGACTTTGTCTGGTATACGTACAAACATACACCAATTTATTACCATTCATCCATTATTAATTTCAAATGAAATATATACTGTCTACTTTTTTTCCTCTCGCCATTACTTGGTGCAATATTTGAAAGTTGTCTATTTATTTATCGATCTATCTATTATCTTGTATTTATATTTACAAGTTTCTGTGCTTGGAAGAAAACTCTGCATTGAATTGGAACTAATTTATTAAATAATATTATTTAGTATTAATTAATATTTACAATTATTATTAATTACATTTATTTATAGCTTAGTTACTTTCATGTAACTCGCAATCGTACATTCTTAACATTAGTAGCCCAAATTAGCACATCTTGCTTTTAAATTAGCCCAAAAAGTGGCAAGTAGCGAAATTAAAAATTTGGGAGCGCGGGGCTCTCAAAAGTAGCCCTATTCGCTATTTGTAGCCCAATCTGGCAACACTGTTGGAGTGTGTGTCTCATACAGTACACTCAGATGCCACATGATGGGGCGACAATATACTCTGAACAATCCCAACATTTAATAAATGGAGATCAAATTGGAAAAAAATGTATTTATGTGCCATCTGTCGGCAAAAAAAAGTACCAATCTTGCTGACTTTTAAATCTTTAAAACAGATGGCGCTAAAAAAATGTAGTACTGCAGTTTAATTTACAGTCAATTGGCGCGATATTATGTTGAGCATATAAAGGTGAATTCCTGAATAATATAAAAGCGCAATAATATTTGCTAGCAAAAGATAATTATCATTATACGTAATGTATTGCTACAAATAAATATTAAATACGCGTACTAGCGGCTTTACAAGATTGTAAATTACCATGCTATGTATTCTCACAAACCCAATGTACCTTCTTGTATATAAATAAATGAATAAATAAATAAATAAATAAATACCATTTATTTTAATTTATTATCAACAGATCATAATTTAACAAGTTTCTAGTCTTGGTTATATAATGCCAGCAAAGGATAAGTCGCTCCACAACATTGGCGCTTGAACCCTCGAATGCCTATGGCGTCACATGTTACATAGTTACTTCTTATATCGTAATGAAATCAGATCATTTCCGAGTGAAAATACGGTTTATCATATTCTGCCTTCAGCACCAACATTTCAGTGAGTAAATATACAATATTTCTTCATTACTTATGTAATGAAGAATATGTAATAAGACCCATAATCACACCAGAAATAAATATCTCTTTGATATCCCCAGAGTCAAACTTAATCTATGCAAACACTATGCAAATAAAGGGACCTAGTCAATGCAACTCGCTCCCTAATGAATTGAAAAGCTGTCCAACTTTTGCCTCATTCAAAACAAAACTAAAAAGCCCCTAATTTCATCTTCGTAGTTTCCTACCTTGTGTTTTAAAATTGCACTGTATCTAATGCTTGCCGATCCCCCAATCTTTATGTACCTAAGCCAAACAACTTTACCATTGTGATCATTGCTGTCGTCTTATATGTGCTATCAATATGTTGTATTGTGCCTATTAAACTTTGTTAAATTACCAATCAAGCTGTCAATGCTATCAATCAAGAGCTACCAATGTGCTTTAATATACCTACTAATCTCTCTCATCTCATTTTTTTTCTTGCAATCTACTTGTTATCATTTTATAAATTTTGCTAGAATTTACCTACTTAAAAATTATCTGTTAGATTAAGGACCTGCCCGAAACGCTGCGCGTACTAGTGACTTCACAGGAATGTAAACACCATGCAATGTATCCTCACAAACCCTATGTACCTTCTTGTATATATATAAATAAATAAGTAAATAATACAAGCAGGCTTTGAGTAGCTTGTGGTGACTTTGGGTAGCTTAGAGTAGCTACGGAGCGCTGGTAGGGGTAAAGTCCGTGTGTTTGTGTACACCAAAAAAGGAAGCCCTGTACAATATTACCAGTTATGTATTTGTCTTAAATTACCAAATATATATTTTGTATTTTCAGGAAGATATGAGTGCACACACTCAGTCAACTCCTGTGTGCAGGCAGACAGTGCCAGCTGGTCATATTTTGGTATCCAATAGCTGGACAGGAACTCAGCTGGCTGGCTACCTCTCAAAGTATACTTCGGTGTTGTACTCAGATGGTAAGACATTTCAACATTGGACATTTTTTGTTATTGACCTGTTATGTAGCATCTGATAACTTTTCATTTCCAAAAAAGCATCACATCATTGAGTTACTAAACACCCCATGGAATATTAGATGAACTTAGAGCTAGTTTTTGATATACTGAGCACTGTAATCTTTCATAGAATAGGGTGGCAGCCCATTGCCGTGTATACCTAAGTTTGTTAACAAAATATAAACAAATAAAATAATTAATCCCTTTGTTCTGACCATTTTTGCTCTGATCATTTTCTGTTTTGTCTTTAACCAAGATGGGAATAAAAATTACAGTTTTTTTAGTTCTAATAATAAAGAGATTATAGCATTAACAATTCTTAAATAATAGTTAAAAAAAAAGGCCTTTGAATCTTGTTTTTTTAATAGAAAATATTGTCCCAATAAGTCAATACCAGGCCATAAGTTGCCCCACAACAGAATATAATCATAAACACAGTGGTATTGTACCTCCAAAACCCAAACTATATTGTACTGTTTGGTTCAGATTAGTAACTAATCTGGGTGAGAATTAGATTCTCACCCAGTTCAGATTAGTAAATACTAGATCAGTAAATCTAGATTTTCAAATACAGTACTGCATTCGGTTTTTCTGGGTGGGACCATTCGGTGGCTTCCCGAGCTTATCTCCGGTACCGTCAGATCGTAGCCGAATGCACGAGCCCTCTCTTATCCCTCACCTACCAGGAGCCATTTATTTCAAACAATGGTTTGTTTTGTTTTGCCTGAAGTTTCTGGTTAGTTTCTTTTATTTTTGAGTTGATCTCTGATCACCACCACTTTCCTTGCATTTCATTATGTGTACCAAGTTCTGGTTGTGGTTCCCATTAGGTCTATAAGCCTTGTGCTGGGTGTGGTCTGAAATGCTTTGTTGTACCAGCCCTTAAGCTTCGAAAAGCAACTGAAAGTTGTTTAATTACATTTAACATGATTTTATATAATGAAATTCTTTGTGTTTGAATGTACAGTATCTTATTTTTTTCAGATCATTAACAAAATTCTATGCACTTTACATTTAGGCAAATACAATTCTTTATATGGTGACATATAACACATCACTATCCAAAACTCTGAAGGTGACTGTATTTTATTTCTCAAAAGGTTTTTTGAGTACTGTTCAGTATTACAGTATATCTACTTTTTTGCAGGTCTTGGAATTGTTGACTTTTATCCATCAAGAGATGCAGCAGTAATATTTGTCAGTGAAGCAGACATCATTTCTGGTAATATTCCAAACATTCCTGTTAGGTTGTACTGTATTTGAATTTTTGTTTAAATAAAGGTATTACTACATGTACAGTATTATGAACAAATGTTGAGTTGATGCACTGTTTATCTAATATTGAATGTTGAAAGAAAGTGGAATAATAAATGCCAGGGAGTAAATCTGTCTTGAATGGTCTTGATATTGTGACTGTTTATTTTTTTATGCTTAATATAACTTGATATGCTTAACATTCTAATGATCCAGTATGTATCATCCAAGAAAATCTTACGCTTGCATTGTGATTATGCAATGTGTGTCGACTCATAAATTATCATGAAACATTAATTTTATGCCATGATATATAAATCATAAAAATCAAACATAAATTTGGTTTAATTCACAAGCAGATGAAGTTTAGCAGGCTAAGAAACTACCTAAGTGTAGTTACAAGATGAGAGCTACGCTCGTGGTATCCCATCTTCCAAGCATTCTTTGTCATAATGCTTAGAAATTACTGATGGTTTTGGCCTTCACCACCTTCTCACCTAACTTGTTCCAATCGTCTACCACTCTGTTTGCGAAAGTGAATTTTCCTATATTTCTTCAGCAGCTTTGTTTAGTTAAAGTCTATGACTTCTTGTCCTTGAAGTTACGGGTCTCGGGAATTCTTCCTTATAAATTTTATCGATTCCGTTACTATTTTGTACGTAGTGATCATATCACCTCTTTTTCTTCTGTCTTCTAGTTTTGGCATATTTAATGCCTCTAACCTTTCCTCGTAGTAGCTCTTATCCTTCAGTTCTGGGAGCCATTTAGTTGCATGTCTTTGCATCTTTTCCAGGTGATGTGCTTGTTAAGATATGGGCACCATACAACCGCTGCATATTCCAGCTTTGGTCTAACAAAAGTTGTGGACAATTTCTTTAGTATTTCACCATCCATGTATTTAAAAGCAATTCTGAAGTTAGAAAGTGTAGTACAGGCTCCTCACACAAATGTTCTTTATGTGGTCTTTGGGTGATAGTTTTCTATCTAGAACCACCCCTAGATCTCTTTTTTTTATCAGATTTCTTTAAAGATTTCTCACATAATTTATAGAATGTGTGGGGTCTGTGTTCTCCTATTCCACTTTCCATAACATGTCAGCTATTCACATTAAATTCCATTTTCCAAGTGGCGCTCCATACACTTATTTTGTACAGGTCTTCTTGAAGGGCATGACAATTATTTAAGATTCTTATCTTCCCTATTATCTTAGCATCATCAGCAAACTTGTTCATATAATTGTGTATTCCATCTAGTAGATCGTTTATGTAGACAATGAACATCACCGGTGCAAGAACTGAACCCTGTGGTACTCTACTTGTGACATTTCTCCAGACGAATACATTGCCTCTGATTGCTGCCCTCATTTTTCTATCAGAAAATTTGTCATCCATGTTAGAAGCCTACCTGTCATTCCTCCAATATGTTCCAGTTTCCAGAACAACCTCTTATGTGGAACTCTGTCGAAAGCCTTTTTGGTGGGTAGTGAATAGGAAAGTGGTGGGTAGACCTTGCCGGCTATTACCATGCAGATGAACAAATCCACAAGGGCCGTGACGAGGATTCGAACCTGCGTCCGAGAGCATCCCAGACGCTGCCTTAATTGACTGAGCTACGACATGGTCAAAAGGAGTTGAAACCAAAGTTCTACTGAACTTTCTGGATCCTGCAGCCTCCTGCAGTGTAATGAAGTAAGGGCGAAGAGGAAGAACGGCCAATTGACATAGCTCGAGTGCATGGGGGGGAGTTGTGTAAAACCCTGGTTTGTGCCTGGGAGAGGCCGCAGGATCCAGTAAGTTCAGTAGAACTTCGGTTTCAACTTCTTTTGACCATGTCATAGCTCAGTCGGTTAAGACAGCGTCTGGGATGCTCTCGGACTCAGGTTCAAATCCTCGTCACGGCCCTTGTGGATTTGTTCATTTGATGCATCACGCAATTGTGATTTCTGTGTATATTACCATGCAGGTTTCCATACATGTCACTGCTTCTCACCTGCAAGAGACAAAAAGAAAGTGCTTGACGTACATAAAGTGTGTTGTGAGATTATAACAGTAATCCTATCCAGTCCCTAAGCTTCTCTCTATAACCAAGTTGTAGACCACTAGCCTGAGCAGGTCAGACATGAAAGGAATCATCCAGTAACTGGAGGAAAATATAAGAATCTTGGAGAATAGAACTCAGGTAGAAGTTGATCATCATAATTAATGCAAGGAAAGAGTACCCTAAAAACTAAGTCAGTGAGAAGTCTGAACCCAGAGACATTCAATGAAAGGTCGCAGTGTGGTAGCACTTTATGGGAGCAAATGTACCATAAAGGAATCATTAGCAAGGCACATTGGAGACAAAAACAACTTCCTTAAGGATAGCCATCATGTGTAAGGAAAGTGGATTTAATGGAATAAAAATATAATAAAATTAAGATTTCTAAGAAATGCAGGTGGGGGGGAAAATGTATAAATTAGTTGATTTGTGTAGAAAAGTAAAGTAAGGTGGGATAGAAGGAGATGGGATGGGGGAAGTTCGGCTGTGTTCTCTAAGCTTTCCAATGTTGTTTGAGCTCGGTAGTCTGTATTCTGGTAACCCAAATCTTCAGGTACTGTAATCTGAATGAACTGTAGGTAGTGTTCATCATGCACAGGTGAACAGAGTAATCAGATAAACAGGAGGAGGAAGTAGGTAAATGATGAAAATACGAGGGTAAACTGCGGGAATAAGAGTTGTTTTACAAAATGTTCTTTAATTTTTTTTTTTTTTTGGGGGGGGACATTCTTGATAAGAAATTTGACCAACTCAAATGCTCGGCTACCTTCAAGGGAACTATAAGGAGAAGGCACCAAGCCATTACGACAGTACAGTATAGCATCTAGAAGGGATCAGGATAATGATTTGGGATGGGACATGGGGAAGGAATGGCGCCCACCCATTTGGATGGTCAGGAATTGAATGGCGGTCTGCATGAAGTGAGACCATCTCTATCATCCAGCCCAAGTGGTTTGGAACCATTCCTTCCCACTCCCATTTAAGCTTCCTTCGGCTAGCTTGAATGGAGTGGGTTCCATATGATTTGGATTCCTGAGCATAAACAGTAAATGCCTTTTATCAATAACTGTGTTGTATTTAAAACCTATACTGTATACAGTATTTTTCTAAATAAAGATTATTATTGAAATCTGAAATGACTGTGGCTATATGGAATAATGTTTTATTATTACAGTACAGTATTATTATTATTATTATTATTATTATTATTATTATTACTACTACTACTTAAAAACTAAGTACTGTACTACCTAATCAGCTTCATGTAACCTACTTTACATCCTAAATGTCAAGCTATGTCTTGCTATTAACAAACTTTATTGATTATTGACCAACTTGTATAGTGACTGGTTTCTGCCATGTATAAACTCAGTAGGTACAGTATGTATATATTTAATAAAGCTACTGATGTGCAGCATAATGAGACAGGAATGTATAATCGATATACTGTACTGTACTGTAGTTGCATTTGGTAAAGGTTTTAATAATTTGCTTCTTGATATGTCCAGGTAGTAAGAAAATCTTCAATGACATATTTTTGAAATGCTGTGCATGCTTGTGACTGTACAAGAATATAAGAACTCTTGTATATATAAAAAATATAGAATTTAAAACTCATGTTTAGTCTGCTGTCCACTCTTCACCCCAAGTCCCACCTCATGCAACCTCAGCTGACTTGCATCATTATTCTTTGTAATAGACCTTTGGTGAATTCATATACATGTACTGTACTGTATTAATTAATATTAATGTACTATATTAATTTCTTTATAATATAAAGAAATTGCTAATGTGCACATGTATTATATTTTCAGGAATCAATTACAGAAGACGGATAGTTAGATTTCGACAAGCCAACACGTCTATTAGAGGAAGTGTTATAGCTCAGAATACATCTCTTACTCGTGACCAGTTCTGCATACTCCAAAAGTATGTTTCTGGGAGGGCTCTAAGGTTGGCAGCACCAGGGAGCCACCTCAGATGCATCAGACACAGGCATTTCTTTACATTCCATGCTGATTTTCAGTCTATATTAAATGTAATGTCAATTTATGCTAAATTCAAAATCATCTTCTGGATACAGTATTTTAATTTGCTTTATTGGAGACACATAGACTTTTGTCTGCTTAAAATCTTAAGTGAAAAGTCTAATAATTATGTTTTTCTTTTTCTAGATTTGTGAGTGTTGAACTTGGTTTAGCAATTTTGCCCATCCAGACTATTGAGGAGGTAAGTTAGTGTAATTATAAATTTATTAGTGCAAGGGTGCATTAATTAATGCAACCAAACACCATTTCTCCTAATACAGTACACAGTAGTAGTATTATGTGCAAGAGAGTTTTCTGCAACATAAAGAAAGATGAAAGCTTAAAAAATTCATTTAGACAGTCTTGAAAGTTTCCCATTGTCAGGGACTGGAAGCCTGTTAGCCTTATCTAGATTCCTCTAGGTCAACTTCTGAGCTATACCATGATGGGTACCTATTTATTTCTATGTGAACAGGTGCACTGGGTGAAAGGAAATGTGCCCATATTTCTGTCTTGCTGTAGGAATTGAAACTAACTTTTCTGTTTTGAACTTGATTGCTGACCACTGTGTTGCAGGGCCTACCCTTACCATAGCACTCTGGTGCAAGGTAAGGGTATGGTAATTATGGGAAGAAAGTGCTTAGCCAGTATGACCATGGAGCACTTGGAAATGGGACAAGGATGTAGGATAGTACAGAGGGAAGGAATGGAGCCCCCTTCCCCTACCACACGGACTATCTGGTTTCAAACACCTACCTGCAACAAGTATGGCAGTCGCTGTACTTACCTGTCCAAGTGGTTGGGTCACACACTGGTGCAAGTAATTGCATTAATTGGAATATGAATATCAGTGCAGTCTCAAGCAAATTTATAATGATTCAAATTAGCTGCTGTGGCCTCCCAGTTTAGAATTGCCTTAGTAAAGCTATTATTATTATTATTAGGTAAATATTATTAACAGTTGCATCAATTTGTGAATGAAGAATATTGATGTTGACTGTAAAATGATTGTGTCCAAACTGGTTATTAATATTACTAATCATATGATATGTCCAGTTAGATTCTTATCATTAAGAACATGATTGTAAGATGTTCAGCATTTTAGTTTCTGGCTGTCTTGACAGTTCTTGCTGACCATGTCTCGTGCTTCTCGCCGAGTTCGTTGACTAGAGAAGTGCAAGTGGGTTTGATTATAAATATTTTTTCATCCTACTCTTGTATTGCCTGCATCTGATGATGTTTCCGAGGTGCTGCCTCTTACCGTCGGTCAGCTGCCGGACTTCTATGAGTTTCTGGAGCTGGCTGAGCAGTGGAACCTTTTCTCATTTGACTTCGGCAAAGCCTCTCTTGTTGGTTTTTACATTGATTATTCTTTCAGCACTGTTTGTTTCACTTGCTTTGCTTTTCTTTCTTTTGTGGGCAGCTCTTGCTCTTCTATAGCTGCTGTGGTGCCTTGACAGGATGCTGATATTTTGTCTCTGGGTGGATTCTTCCCTGGAAGTCTGAAGTTTTAGGTGATGTTCCTGTTGACACTCGCTTCTGGAGTTCATTTCCATGAATCGGACTTTCATCAAAGATGGTTTATTTGCGATCATTGAGTATGATATAGTTTTATTCATTTACATTGAATAAATGTATTCTGGCTCAAGATGTTCCAGTTATATTCTGGGTATGGCTATTAATCTTTGTGGCTAGTTTATGCATTCTGTGGACATCATCCTCTATGCCTCTCACAGTGCCTCTCAGTGTTCAATTAAGAACTCGATAAACACCTCCGAAGAATACTTGATCAACCAGGCTGTGAGCAGCCACATCCAATAGCCTGGTTGACCAGACAACCAACTGGGAAGCCTGGACGGAGACTGTGCCACAGGGCCGTTGATCCCCAGAAGCTATACGAGGTAGGCATGCATGCCTGTTGGCTGCAGTTTGGTACTTTTTGCAAGCCAAAAGGGGTTCTACTTCTGAATCTCTTCCATCATCCTCTTTCTGTGCTGCCCTGTTCCAAAAGCTGTTTATAGCAGATCGTTTGTCATGTGATAAAGTTCAACCAGCCTGCTGCATACATTAAGAGCCCTTGATGTCCAGAAGTGTGTTGCACTTGTGGCATTCTTGAACATGTCTGCAGCAATTATCAAGAAGTTGGGTTTCTGGCATTGCAATCAGGGGTTTACAGATCGATGTCTTAAAACTGTCAGCCTCACTGATAGTGTTGGCTTTTGGCCATGTCATCTGTGTCTGCGATCTGCATATCTTCGAGTTCTGGATTGGGAACTCCATCTGCCCTGGATAAGTCCCATCCTTGCCCTTTTTATTGTTTCATTGTTATATTTAATATTTATTGTCCTAATCTATATCAGTAGGTTTTCCTTGTGCAAGGCATCACGAGGAGGGAGGAAGGTCAGGGAAACTTAGGAAGAGGCTTCCCAGAAATAGAGCACTGAGTATACATAATGAAATGCCCCATTTCTGGACATCAGCTTGTCGTTCCTACCAATTATCTTCTTTTTCTATGGCAGTAATTTATGCTTTGACTTGAAGTGGGAACGTTTAGCACTTTTCCATAAATTTTGTGTTTGAGGGACTTTGTGCTATAGCCTCCTTTCATTGCTTTGATGGCAGTTTGTTTCTGCTTTGGGGTGTGCTCCTCACCTCATAGGGATTCAAAGGAAACTACAAGGGACTGTCTGCAGTAGGCAATGAGAGTCTTGCAGGTTCCTGGCATTGGCTAGTCTGGCTAATAATGGCCTTTGCATAATCTTATGGGAACTGCTCTCCAGAAAGGGGGCATTTCAGAAGACTCAACTGCTCTATTTTTTCTTAATACTCAAGATATTATGAATAAAGGCTGATGTAGAATACTGTAAAAGAAACAAAGTTAAACACATTTATAACATATAAATGTTTTTAACTTTAATTTGCTTTGTATAGTGTCAAAAGCCTGCAGGTTAAATTGTCCAATAGATCTAAGGTTAAAAAACTGAAAATATTACTGTACAGTCCAGTATTGTATATCTTGGTCATAAATTGCCCCTAAAACTTCAAATAGTAGTAGTATTGCCCTCTCTGTCAGTAGAGTAATGTTTGCTGTGTTTGCATATGAAGCTATGGTTATCTCCGCTTGTCTTAATAGTATTTACTGTATTCAGGCTGCACAGCTGCTAGCTCAGATGGTGACATGCGAAGCGAAGTTTAATTCAAATCCATTTCGAATGAAACCAAAAACAGCAAGTACTCCAGATGTTGACTTGCTGAAAACAATGACAGTGATTCCTGGCTTGGGAGATAAACGTGCTCGACAAATTCTTCAACATTTTGGCTCTTTACAAGAGATATCTAATACGTCACAAGAGAATCTTGAAAAAGTAGTTGGGGCTGCTACAGCATCCTCTGTTTACAAATTCTTTCATCAGTCATTTCTTTTATGAAATATTTGTAATAACTAATGATTGAACAGTGTGAGAAGTTATTTTCCTAATGTACTGTACTGTATGTAATTTTTTAAATTAAACTCAGAAGAAACTATTTCCTTGCTTTCATTAGGTTTTGCCTAATAATGTGTGGCACTAGGGTTTTTCCAGAACTAGTCTTTTGCACTACTGTACAGTGTATGTCAACATATCCTTAGAGAGGAAATCCGCTCATGGATTCCATTTTTAGTGAGCTCCTAAACACACTGAAGATTGATAACCAAAATTAATTCTTCATGAATGCGATTACCAACATCAAATCATATACTGTACTGTATCAGATGTCACCCTAACCCCACTGGATTTTGAAGTAGCCATAGACAGTATGTCCATGCACTCTGCACCAGGCTCTTAACAATTTTTGTAGACAGAGCCTAGATACTGGTGTTATCTCTGACATACTAGAAACAGCAGAGATGGCACCACTCCATAAAGGAGGGAATATAGCAGAAGCAAAAAATTACAGACCAACAGGACTAAGATCACACATCTATAATAATAATAATAATAATAGTAATAATAATAATAATAATAATAATAATAATATTATTATTATTATTTGCAAGAAGGTACAATGGGTTGGTGAGATTGCACAGGATTGGTATTTTTGTATTCATGCAAAGCCACTAATACGCATAGCATTTTTGGTGGGAATTTAATCTAACATATCAGGTAAGATGAAAGGATAAGATGAAGAAGTAAGATCACAAAATATTGTACATGAAATCACAGCATCTACATAACCCTGGACAACATGGGTTCAGAACAGGGCACTCTTGCCTATCACAGTTGCTGGATCATTATGAAGTGGCCTTAGATGCCATGGAAGACAAGCAAAACACTGATGTAATATACACAGATTTTGCAAAAGTATGTAATTATCAAAAGAAGGCACCAAGCTAGGATGGCTATGTAGCACTATCAGATTTTGCAAAAGCCTTCGACAAATATGTCCATGGTGTTATTGTACACAAAATGTGTTCAAAAGGAATTACTGAAAAAAATAGTAAGATGAATCTTCAATTTCATAACAGAACCCAGTGTGTAATTGTCAACGAAGTAAAGTCCGGATCATCAATCATGGCTCATTCCCCCAGGGGTACTCTGCTTGCTACATACAGTACAGTACAACAGTATTTTTTTTTCATTTTCATATCGGACATAAACAAGGACACTGTACTGTACTATATTGCTGTATCACCCTTTGTAGATGATGCTAGGATTTTTGAGAGTAGACAACATAAAGGACACAACAAATCTCCAATCTGATGTTAATGAGGTCTTTCAGTGGGCCACAGAAAATAATGTTATTTAATGAAGATAAGTTCGAGCTCCTGCACTATAGGAAAAATGAAAATATAAAATGGAAACTACATACAAAATGCAGTAAAATTGTATTATAGAATGAAAAAGCAATGTAAAGGATTTGGGAATAATCATGTTAGTTAAAGACCTTACCTTTAAAGAACACAATAAAGTAGCCATCACAATTGCCCCCCAAAAAAAAAATGACAGGTTGGATAACAAGAACCTTTCAAATTAGATGCCATACCATTGATGATGCTTTTCAAATCACTGGTGCTCTTTAGAGTGGAATACTGTTGCACAATAACAGCCCCTTCTAAAGTTGGAGAAATTTCTGACCAGGAAAGCATGCAGAATCCTTTACTACTGGAATCCACTCAATCATCTAAATTATTGGGACTGATTAAGATGTTTAAATCTGTATTCTCTGGCGTGCACGTGGGAGAGAGAAATAACAATTTACACTTGGAAAATATTAGAGGGACTGGTTCCAAATTTTTACATGAAAATAACATCTCATGAAACCAGAAACATGGCAGGATGTGCAGAATACCCCAAGTTGAAAAGCTGAGGCATAATAGGCATGCTTAGAGAGAACTCTATCAATACCAGAGGCCTAACATTGTTCAATACAATTCCACTACACACAAGGAGCATAACTGACCAACCTCTCAGAGTGTTCAAGAAAGAACTCAATAAACACCTCTGAAGGATACCTGCTGAACCAGGCTGTGATTCATATGTCAGGCTGTGAGTAGCCTTGTCGACTGGACCAACGACCAGGAGGCCTGGTCAAATCGGGCTGCGGAGACGTTGATACCCGAAATCATGGCAAGATAACCACAAGGTTATCATGGTAATGAATTCAGATTGACTGTGTAATTAGTGCTATTATCTACTCTCTATCTGTGGTTAGATTATATTAAGGTTTGGTTTAGTTGGTTAGGTTTCATTACGTTTGGTTACATTAATACGGTGAAATAGTCCAAAATGTGAAATATGGAATTCTAAAACTATTTAAGTGCACCCTTCAATTTTGCGTATAGAAAACCAAATTCTTAAGATCATTTCAAAGAATACGTTTTAAGCATGAACTTTTATATTTTAAATAAACAATTTATGATACAATAAAGTTAAAACTTGAGAATAATCTTTGTTTAGGATAAACGTTCACTTGCCAATTTACAAATATACTATTATTGGAACCGTAATATGCTTTCAGACTATTACAAACAGTATCTGGATAACTATCCAGTGGTTTGATGGGGTAGTTCGTCACTCATAATAATGGATTTTCATGGAGTCCAGTGTGATACATGGCATGTGATTAACGTGGGGTTTTTACTAAAGGAAAAATAATGGAAAAAAGGAAGAGAGAGAAAGAAGAAGTAAAGCATCTGAGATCAATACATATATTTAAGTGTTTCTTGAGGGGAAAAATTGGGGTGGGGGGGGGGGAAGGAGACAGAGAGATAATTAGATAGAGACGGGAGATAGACCCGAAGAATACTGGTTTCCCCCCATTCCTTAGTTCCATAGATGACCAACCGCCCTGCGAGATAGGGACATTAATTAGGTGAACTTAGACATGTACAGTACTCTGTTATTCCTCAAATATAGTTGGGTAACAGCACACTGCTGAGCACCTAAGCTTCATTTTTTACAAAAACGATTTTGCACATCAAAATATCTTATATATATATATATATATATATATATATATATATATATATATATATATATATATATATATATATATATATATATATATATATATATATATATATATATATATATATATATATATATATATATATATATATATATAAATATATATATATATATATATATATATATATATATATATATATATATATATATATATATATATATATATATATATATATATATATATATATATATATATATATATATATATATATATATATATATATAATCAGAACCATTACTGCATTAACTTTTTTTTTACATTGTATATTTATTTATTTCCCTAATATCAATACGTGAAGGAAAATTGCAACAATTGTCAAGGCCAAATATGTAGCAAGTTCTCAAGTCCTTTTGTGTTGTGAAAACTTAAGAATGTAACTGGAGTGGAGCCCGGTCTGGTGCATGGAGTTAGTAATGCAGCTGGGCGTGAAGCTGCAGGTCTGGTAAGGCATGGTAGTCACAGCGCCCGGGGCTCGGGCCACTGTAGCCAGCTGAGGCAGCTCAAGTGTAGTGGGCTGCTGCTGTGTCCCTCTCTGCTGTGTCCCTCTGCTGCTGTGTCACTCTGCTGCTGTGTCACTCTGCTGCTGTGTCACTCTGCTGCTGTGTCCCTCTGCTGCTGTGTCACTCTGCTGCTGTGTCCCTCTGCTGTGTGTGTCTTTGCCAGGAGACGACCTACCATGTAGGGGGTGAGTACTGTCTCATCTTTCTATATACAATATATATATTATGGGTGAATTATTACGACTGTTCGACGCTTCTTTAAACTTTTATCGTATGTACGGCTATATAATTAATGTTGCAAATAAAGTAGCGGTTCGTTTCCTTCATCCCAGTAGTACAGTCGGCTTCGTTCTCGACTCAAAATTAGGAATTCCGGGTTCGAATCCCGGGCAGGACAGAAATGGTTGGGCGCGTTTCCTATCACTCATACATTTGTTCACCAAGCAGTTTTTTTTTATTATTATTTTCTACCATAGACGTGGTCACACATTTACAATGCAAATCAGCATATATACATTTTCTTCTGTCTTCCATGGACAGGGTGAGAGATTTGTTAAACATACAGTTCAGGGATTTATTGAACAATCAACCACAGAAAGTGATTGTAGTGCATTTAAGATGCTAGGCTAAGCTACATACGTAAATAAATAGATACACAGATTTATGTATGCTACATAAAGTGTTCGATGTGTCTTTTACATAGTGTCATTAATGTGCATTTACAAAGGCGAAACGTAACTGATCAGCTTCCACATATACTTTATACACATACATACATACACACACACATATACATACATACATATATACACACACATACATTTGTCTCTTTTACTCTGACGGGGTGAGAATGCTGATAGAGAAACTAGTGTGCAATTAAGAACTTAACCACTGAAGGTAATTAAGATGCTTTTACAAGCTCAGTTTATATAGTTACATCACATACATTGTATAATTGATACATTACATGGCCAATCTAGGGTATAAGTCCAATATATCATCAAGTGTTCCAGTACTCGTATAGTAGTTACAGAGTTCAGCTTACCTCAGCCCAGGAGGGTGAAAGTCAGTCAATGTGGGACATTCTACAATATAATGTTCAAATGAGTGCATGTTTTCTCTTTCACAAAGTTGACACATTGTGTACTCGACATTTGGTGTATGAGAAAGCTGCCAGATAAGTTTATATTCCAGGCGTATTCTGGCAACTATAACATCACATTGCCGAGTTCTTGCTCTTTAGTCCCATATGTCGGTATAGCACTGATACACATCGTTACCCATACCCTGAGTACTCTCAGTGATGCTTTTCAATGTTAACTGTTTTAATAATGTAGAGTATACACTATCTTTCTTGGGTGCATTTACAAAATCAACTGATAGATCCCAGTTATCACATGGAGTAATTGGTTGATTAATCATTAATTGAGTTGGGTACATATTTAAGATTTTGATGGAATTGGCTACCTTGTAGAACCAAAATGCATTATCAGATTTTGGACTTCTTCTATAGACTTC